GGGAGCAATGCAGTGCACCCGGACTGGCACCTGGATGGTCGAGCTCCACATCAGATCCAGCCATGAAGAAATGGGATGTGAGAGTGAGAGGGAGATGTTAAGGGATTCAAATAGCAGGAGTAGGGATATCTCAGATATTATAATAAGATGACATAATTCAACAAAACCTGGCGATAGAATCACAAAAGTAACTTGGGGATGTCTGAGCATTCCAAACCTATGTGATGGAAAAACCAATGAGCATGAATCATGAATGGACATTGCTGAAACTGGCAAATTGCTTAACCAAAAAAAATGGTTGGGTATAGCCTACGAGTAGCTGAATCCTCTATAACCAGCACCAACTCAATGCTCCAGCATTGCACCTGGCTCTCCGTGCCAAGCACTGCCTTTCAACAGCACGGCCTTGTCAAACAGGCCAAACAGGTTATGGGTGTCATGCGTCAGTGATGCTAAGCCCAATCTCCCAGCAGAAAACAGGACAGGCTGCACCCAGCCGTCTGGAACTGGAGTGAGGTCACCCAAACCTGCGGTAAAGGCTGGCTCTGCGCCCTGCTTCCCGCTCTTGTTGGGTGAAGATGGGGCCAAAGTTCGAACCTATGAAGCAACAGATTACAGAACATTATTTTGTCAGTTTATAAATAAATATATATATATAAATATATAAATATATATAAATAAATATATATATATACACCTTGCATCACATCACATGAATGTCATGTGCTTAGGCACATAGTTATTCTCCGTGGAATTATCCCACGAAATCCCATATCCCCAATATAATATTTCCAATAGATCCTCATATCCCCATAGCATTCCTGAAATCCAGCCTTTTTCCCCCAGCCGCTCTGCTCCGCTCCGCATCGCTCCGCTCGGCTCAGTCGGTGGCGTCTACCAGACGGGCCTTGCGCCGATCTTCGATCCACACCAGCAGAAAAATCGCCACATCGGCCTGAACGTGGAGGAGAAAAACCAGCCCCATGCCGCCACTCCACACCTGCTGGGCCAGCGGCCAGCGGAGCCGGTGGATTGTCTGCAAGATGGATCGCGCAATACTTACACACACATGTATATATGTACAAGTGCAAATACGTATTGCACATATATACATACATACCTACCTACCTACCTACCTACCTACATACATACATACACACACCTATATATATTATCTTGATATATATATATATATATATTAGCTTTTTTTAAAGTCTCGTAAAAATATTTTTGTTATCTAGCGTACGTGTAGTGACGAGTGACATGAACGGGGGTATGAACGTGTGTGTGAACGACATGCGTGCGAGTGAACGTACGTGCGAACGTATGTATGTACGAGTGAGCGTACGTGCGAGCGAACGTGTGAGCGTACGTCCGTGCGTTTGCACGGTCACTCGCCACGCGCACGCGCACGTACGAAAATAAGGTCGACTTGAGTCGACCTTATTTTTGCACGACCCTGCCTCTTTAGTATTGATTTAGTATTGTAGCGCTTTGCACGTACAGAAATAAGGTCGACTCCAGTCGACCTTATTTTCGTACGTGCGCGCGCACGCGGCCAGTGAACGTGCAAACGCACGCACGTACGCGCACACGTCCGTCCACTTGTACGCACACGTCCGTTCACTCGTTCGCTCACACGTGCACTCGTCCGTTCACTCGTTCGCCTTACGTTCGTCACCACGTCCGTTAGCCACTCGTACCCCCTACGTTCACCGCGTCTCTTGGAGCTTTAAAAGCATTGTTTACGAGGCTTTAAAAAAAGCTAATATATATATATATATATTAAATTTATATATATATTAAAAATATATTATATATATATGTACACACATATACACATGTACACACATACACACACACACATATATATATGTAATATACAATATAATGTACCCTCGTCTTATTGCTATAGAAAATAATCCTTATGTTATGAATGGTATATATAATATATATAATTTTGCAATTTCGACTGCTGGATTACCAAAGGGTAGCATAGTGCATGGATATATGACAATATATTATGGGGTTCTTTTTCAGGCATCAGGAAATATTATGGAAAACTTGGGGCCAAAAGGTGGCATCCAAAACAGGATGGTCCAAGTCACTCTGAGGATGTCCAGGAAGAGCGACCAAATGAAGACCAATGCAAAGCCGCTGTGTCCAGTCGGAAAACCGCCTGTCGTTTGACACAGGGGCAAGGAGGGCATGCCACAAACATCGGGCTTGCATCAGTTTTGATGCAATATCTATTCAGCTGATGTCTATGAAATCTTGGGGCGGCAACTTGGACATTCCAATTCTTTTCTGCAAAACAAAGCCGTAAAAGTTGAAGCCCCACGCTGGCAACCCCACAATCAGCCTAAGAAGTGCAGCAGAGCGAAGTACATGGAGTGGATGGTCATGACATATGCCATCAGTGGCACAGATTTCTCTGCCTCGCCCGCTATCGACGCGCCCAAGAAGAGCATTCGGAACTGAGCCTCCTCCTTGGGGGAAGCGCGCCGTCATCACATCGCTGGGGCGCGAGGCTGGGTCTGGACACCTAATAGGTCTCATGATTGTTGGGTACAGTAGCAACTCTTATGTTCACATATATTCACATGCACAATTGTTCATATATCACACATGGACGGCAACAAACTATTATCTGAAATCAATATGTTTATGATCATCAAAATCATATAGTGTCATAGCGTTTCCAATATCACCCTTCTATACCACTACAATCCAATATATTCATGTTCACCTCTTACACCCCCCCCCGCTTGATTGCAGCCCCGGTCACCCGGAAGGCGTTGATCACCGCGAAGGGCAGCACCGTGGTTGGCGTCATCAGCGGCGCCAGGATCTCTTGGATCGGGCCATGGTCGCCGCGAACCCACCAGGACCAGGCCACTAAGGCTACGGTGGAGATGACGACACACCTGGGTCAAGGGATGTCATCGACCAATGGTGATGGCAGAAATGTATATGTATATGTATATGTATATATATATGTGTGTATGTATAAGATGATATAAGATGATATAAGTCAGTATATTGTAAAAGCGCGATATATTTCATTTATATGCTTTTCCTTCTTGAACTACTGGATGGCGGTATGTGTGTTCTGTTGTGTCCTCAGTCTCAGCCCTCCAAAGCCGCAACCCTCCAAACCACTGTAGTAGGGATACATCACTAAATATTGGAATGTATTAGATATGGAAAACTTGAAAAGCCACCATTGGTAAATCATTTCCGCTGTTTGGGAGATGAGCTTTGTGATATATGATGATAAAGTGACATGCAGACCCACACGATAGGACAATTCTTTGATGCAATTACTAGCGCAGGTCCCCTAAATGACGCGTTGGCGACAGTTTCTTTCATCTTGAAGAAACAAAGCAGGAATCATAGCCACCAAGAAGAAGCCCTGGCATTTGAAACCATCAGGAGGTTCGAACATGTGGAAAGCGTTGCCGAAAGAGGAACCAGTCACAGAATGGACCACAGCAAAGGTCCGCCATCAAATCTTCCTCCTTGAAGCCCCAGCGCATCTTTCACCGGCGATTCAGCATTGCCCAAGGCAACCACCGTGATGACCAGCAACGACCACCAGGGAATGAACTGATCCAAAGGTATCCTGCAGAAAAAGGATAGGGACATATAGGGACATAGGGCAAAGATTTGCGTTGACCCTTCGTGTACTGGCTGACACAGTGAAAGTTATCAATCTGATCCAAATCCCACTAAAGAACTTTGGTTCAACATCCCCTGAAATTGAACTTTGACTTAGAAATCACATGTGTCCCACATGCTGTAGGAAGAATCGTCACCTCTCACCATTTATTTGATTTCTTGGGGATTCAAACCAGACCCCTGCCAGAGGTCAACCAACAATAGATTGTGAATCCGCCACTATTAGTTGTTGGAGGTCAATAGGTCCCTCATAAACCCTTATTATCTGTGAGTATTGATTTATCATAAGCACTAAGCCATTCAGAAAGTGATTCTTGCGGGTTAAGCCCTGAACATAAGACCCATATTCTCACAGAAACTTTTTGGGGTTGAATCCCCATGATTGCATCAATCCATGGGGATAGAACTGAGGATATATCATGATCTATCACTATGATCCCCATGAAATCCATGAAATATCACATTTTTTGGGGGTGTTGAATCCGAATGCCGAATCCCCATGTATCACCGTATATCGATCCCACTGTATCCCACTGTTCTCACCCCAGCGCTGAGATTCTCTGGCGCCGGCAGGGTCATGTGGACCAGGGACATCAAGGAAGCCCAGGGAAGCAACACAGCACCATCCAACGCTGGGCCCCGGAGCAACAGGCTGATGCTACTCCTGAGGGTTGATCCGTCTGGGAGCCACAATTTTGGTGGCAACAAAGGGTTGTTTCAAGATTAATTAACTCGATTCTCTCTCTCTCTCTCTCTCCATCGACATCTCGGGAGATCAGCAGTCAAGCTGAAGGCGAACTCAAAAGGCGGCTTTTTTGAACGCGTCCAACGTTAGGATTTCCACTTTTTTGGCATGTCAACACTAACTGGACTTGTCATTTTTTAATTTTTCGAGGAGCACAACAGTAAACAACAATCTGCAAGGAAGGGGTTTGGACTGGTGGGCTGTTTCAACATGTTTCAACCCAACAAATCCTCTGGTCAAGTGGGGCATCAGCCAGGCCAATGGCATACGTCAAAAAAAAACAGTGAACATATGCAAAATTATGTGAAACCACCACCAGCCAGCAGAGATGCCAAATCAATCTGCAGCCCCAGAAACTGTACCACACCCGGTGTAAATGCCATTCTGGATGAACCAGTGCTCTAAACAGGAGAACCCAGCATTTTTCCAGCAGAAAAAAACCAAGGAACAAGAACGCGCAACTTTGCAGCAGCCGCGCTGGCCAGTTGAAGCTCATTCTGCTCCCCTTCGCAGCTTTCTTGCGTGAACTTTTCTTGCCCTCCGTCAATCGATGTGCACAACAGGAGGGCCAGGAAAGAAGCAACAAGCATTGGTCGAAGGTCAGAAATTCCTGGGTCCGAAACAGTTCGGTAATGCTGAAGCTGGGGGCAGAACCATCCCAAAAATGCCGTCAACATTTTATGATCAACATTATGATAAACTTAAACACAGCCAGGATGCAATCGCTACTGATACTATTTGGAAGTTTCCTGAAATGGGGGTACCCCCAGATCATCTAATTTAATGGGATTTTCCATCAAATACACCACCCAGCTACGGGGATACCTCCATTTATGGAAACCACCATTTGATCCTATATCAATGTGTTATCCTGAAAGCTCCAAAAACCGGCCAGGTCTCACGGTGTTGGTACGCGATGCATGCGGATGCGCATGTTGCCGTAGCCCATGGGGCAGCCATCAGTCCGCTTTGGGACCAGGATGCCAAATCTATGGAATCAGCCTACCAAACGAATCATGTGTGATATATTATGACATAATGACTATGAATGCACATTGCACATGAATCTTATTAATCTACTCAAATGATTGATGATGGGGTGTAGATTTTTGAAGTTTGGTTGATTTGTTTCGAAATGACGAACTTGCCTGTGGTTCGTGTTGGCTAAAACATTCGAAAACATTGCAGTGAGTCATTTTTCACCATCACTTGACCATGATTTGCTAAAATGGGATGCCAACATGAAAGTTCTGGTTTCTCCATGCCAGGTATGTTGCGATGTTTCGTGAGGGTTGTGCTCCATGTTGTCGAGATGAACGATTTTGAGCCAATGCGACCTGGATTGCAAGACATGCACATAGATTTGCATGAGTTTGCTTAATTTTGATTAATTTTGCACGCGCGGGCTGATGTACCACTATAATCCACTATAGTCTAAGGTGCACACTCTGCAGCCCACCTCAGCAGAAACTGCAGCAGCCAGCCTGCTTGCCCTTGACCGACTCGGTGACTTACACCGCGACTCACGCGTTGATTCCACTCCTGGATGGGACGGAAAAGGGCATTGGCTCATTGGATCTTAGAAGGAGAGCAGTTCACCGGGCTTCAATCATCTGAGGGACAAGAAGGATGATGGACCTCAATCTGAGCAGCACCACCGCACCACCAACACAATTATGATTTTGACATATCCCCTTCAAAATTCCACATGCTCAACGATGGAACCATCCGCCGCTATTTCTGCTCTCGCCCTGCAAGCTTCGGACAGGGTCAGATTAAAACAATGGCCATAGCGGCCGCTGCAGCTGAAGGATTTGGTGCCAGCTCCACTGATCATCCACAGCTTACAGCAAGCCATAAAGATCCATAAAGTGTGTTCAGGCACCGCATGCTGTGGTCACGCGATGCGAAATGAAGACAGTTGGCGACCCGTTCCCAAACCTGGGTATCCTCTCAAAAGGGGTTGAGGTCCCAAGTTCAGTGTCTGCAGATCCCAAGAGTATGCAAAATTGCGCTGCCTGGTGCTGCTTCACTTGCGTTATCAGCAGCCAGTGGGGGAGGCCGCCAGGCGGCTCCCCGCTTCCAATGAGCTCAGAAATGATGGGAGTAGATCATGGCTTCGTAGGTGGGATAAGGGTACCTGGGCCAGGCAGAAGGCAAAGGCTGCAAATCTCAGGATCCCAAATCAAGAGATCCGCAACCAGGCACTCCATATGGGTTTCTCTGAAACTATCATGCCCCCAAATCCGCTGGTTAACGATTGGTTAACCATCAGTTTCCCTACACATGGGGCATGAATTTGGGTTAATCCACCGTTCTCATATTTTCAGCGACACCATGTCACACCCATCATATCAAAACTCCATCGCCATCTATCATTGGATGCTGTTCCCATTCTATGCCATTACACAATAATATGAATTGGTGAAAACCCTATCCTTTCCTGGTTAAGTCCCTATTTTGGCTGGTTAAACCCCGTCAAAGCCCAATAAAAAAGCCAAGTCCAACACCGTTTTTCCATGATCAGCATCTCACGTGTTCATCAAATCCATTAAAAATCAATGAACAAGTCATACCATCTCCTTATATTCCTTACGGCGTTCTCTTCTCAAGATAATGGTTCCATCCCCCCCAATGGTTCCCTTTCTTCTCAGTGCTTTCCCAAGGCACACGCCCTGTTCCATCAAATTCTCTGCCGCATCCACGGCCGTGCGCAGCTTCGCCATCAGCGGCTTCACGGTGTCGCAGAGGTACAGGGCCTCCTCCGGGAGACCACCGTGTGGCTTGGAGCTGAAGGAGGTCTTCAGCTTCTCCAAGTGCTCCACGATGCCTGAGTCACGAACCATGGAGTCCTGGTGGAGTGGGGAAACGAGGAAACTCGTTTTAGCGGACATCATGTCTCTTTTTGTTTCAACTAGCATGTTTTGAGGTTTTAGATAAATTGGGGATTGATAGTGGGGTTCTGATTGGTAAATTGATTAAGTTGACCTATAACTAGGTAATTAGACGTAATTAGGCTAACTCTTTTTTTCCTATGCGTATACAGTTAGATGGGATGATAAGAGTTTTTTTTTCCGCGCGCCTTTTTAGATCCCGCAGAGTTGGGGTGAAACTTGCTATCGCCAGGGCAGGCGACTTGGCCCCGCGGCGGCCGCCAGATCGAGGAGATCGGGGAGAGGCGGCCCAGCATCCCCAGTAGGGAGTCGCGGGTAAGCCCAGCTGACGCCGAGCGCGGTGGCAGCCACGGCCTGCTGCAGGGCTACTCCGAGGAGCCCCCACCAGCGGCACTGCCATCCGCTGCGCGCAGCAGCCCTGACTGCGGGGGCAGTGCGCCGCGCGCGATGGTTGAGCAGGAGGCGCATGAGTTCATGGCACTCACTGCTCCACCGCCCCCCAAGCTCCGCCGCCAGCACTAAGAGGCGCTGGCCACCCCCCCGGCCAGTGCCAAGTTCAGGGTAACGCCGCTGCTTGCGGCATATATATATATATATTGATTGATTGATTGATTGATTGATTGATATGATTGCCTCATCATCAATCACTGCCGAGGGGAACCCATGATGTCAAATAATGATAAGTCTTCAGGGCATGAGATTCCCGCAGGTGTCCAGGGACGGCGATCATCTTTTGAACATTGCAACCTGGATTCATTACACATTGCGCTAGCTGTTTAGATTCCGAAATGAACCGGAGCTGTGAAACCGTGAAACGGTGGAATTTGCGCAACCTCACACCAACTCTGGCAAATAAACATATGACAAATATTAAAACAAAATAACACTATAATACCCAAAGCATCTCAAGACTGAGGGCAAGGACAGTAGGACTTGATTTGGATCATACCTCTATTTATTTACAGTAGCCACGGCCCATCATTGCAGCACCCTGCCCAAGCTGCTCTCATAGACCGTCTTGCGGCTGCCCGCCAATTTCTCGAAGCCTTTGTACTTCTCCAGGTCCTGTTTCTGTGCCGCTGGGACATACCAATCTCCATGTGGAATGACACAGCTGCAGCAAACTTGTCACCAAACAAGTTTGACCAACTGCACAGTCAGGTAGCAAGGCACTCAATCCATGACAGAATCTAAAAAACTGAAATCAGGTCCTTGGCGCAAGCAGGCAAGAAGCCGGTCTCGGTCATCTGCACCATGGTTTCAACTTCCTGAGGCTGGCGATCTGCCCGAACAACCAGGTTTTGATCTTCAGGAATGGACGTGGGCAGTTTGGATCTACCAAGTGTAGATGGGTCTCCCGCAGATAGATATGGTGGTTTCCTAAAATGGGGGTACCCCCACATCAATTTTAAAAGGATTTGACATTAAATACCATCCATTGATAGTGGTTTGGTGGGGGTTTCACGCGTAGCTGGTTGCCTCTACACTACCGTTGTCACACAGCACTAAAGGCAAAGGAAGAAAAACAAAAACCATTAATAGGGGTAGCCCCATTTTAGGAAACTTCCATATCTGTAGTTGCTGAAATCTGGACTGGTCAGCAGCCGCGTTTGATTTCTGAAACGTGCCACTGTCTGTCGTGAATTTATCCCAACCGGTCCCGTCTCATATTGAGGTTCTGCACCTGTCCAATCCCCCAACAAACACCCTCAGTAAACATACCCGAACATTCCATTGATTCTCCAAGATTCTCCAAGTAAACATCTTCAGAAAAAAAACATCCCATCTCATCCCATAACTCAGCACCATCGACCCCCACAGATCAAAAATCAGCTGCCCAGTGACACAGCACATGGAGGAGATGTAGTTCTCGTACATCACTTCCTGACGGGCCTCGGTTTCCTCTTCGGTGTAGATCTTCAGGGTCTCCAGCAGCTTCCTTGGGAGCTTGGTGGGGCCCATCTGGAAGTGTGTAACTTAAGATGTAGACCACCGCAAATGCAGCAAATGATTTGAAATCTTCAGAACTTTCATGAACGTACTGAATGTCATGTCTTGGTGCTTCAGCACTTCCCGGCACTTCCCTTTTTGTGTCGCTGGGCACAACATGAATTTGATGCCTAGTTGGTGCCTCCTTGGCGCTGATGGCAGGCGCTTCACATCTTCACCTCTCCATTCTTCAAGAGAAAATTGGGTAAAGCTAAAATCCACTCAAAAATCCGCCCAAACAGCATCCCACAGCCATCTCAAATGCTCCAAACATTGCATGCACACACACACAAATTAAATTGTGATTCATTAAAAAGACAAACATAGGAAAACCTCTATGACTGTATGATCTATCCAAGCGGTCCAAGCATCTTGTTCTTCACCGAGTTCCAGGTCGCAATGGCCTTGGGCGTGGTGTTCAGATTGGGCAGCCCCCTTTTCTCGGCCTCCACGGGCCACTCGGCGCTGTAGCCGTTGCCCGTGAAGATCACGTGCTTGTTCTCCTTGAAGACCTGCCGTAGCAGCTATAGCACCGGGACTCGGGATGTTTTATGGATGTTTTCTCCATGTGTTAGGTGATTTTGAGGTGATTTAGGTGATCTTGACATGACAATGCTTCTAGAGGCAACATCCCCATATTCAGAAAATCTTCGCATACCATGTTTTCATCGTACTCCAGACCTGGGTTTTGGTATGTTACTTTGATAGGCATTTCAGCTCAATCTGGAGGGAACAGTTGGGCCACGGCGAATCCACTGAATGCCCCTCCACAGCTTTCTATCCCCTATGTCGTTCCAAAGCAGCTGTGGACGTTGAATGAATTGAAGGCTGCTTTGATAAGGAAGTTTCTTCATTTGTCTACCGAAGAAGGACAGGGTTGTCAAAGGGTAACGTTTTTAAAGGTTGGCTGAGTAGAAATTAGAAAGTTTCTTCCCCGGGGCCTCACCCAAGGTGAACTCGGAAAAATAGAACCCACTGGTGTGCCCCTGGAAGTTTGGGCTGGCTTTGGGATTGGAATTTTGGTTCTGGCCCCGAAATTTCCCTATGTGGTCTCTATACCAGCCACGCATACTCGGAATTCTTCGCATTCCACAAATTCTTCGCACTCCAGCGAGGGCATCGCACTCCACAGCTAGGGACGTGCACATACTATAAAATCCACGCACTCTGCAAGATCTTCGCACTCCATAAAATCTTCGTACTCGGTGATTTTTCGTTTTTTGCGTTTTTTTTTTTTTCGTTTTTTTTTGGCTAAAATCGCCTGGAATCACGTTTTCTGGAATATGGGCAAGGTAGCGGTTTCGCGTGAGACGTCTGTAGTTTCACATACTATCGCATTCCAGGCCATTTTGGCCAAAAATGACCCAAAAAAAAAAGAAAAAAAACCTCAGCAGGGTGAAATGTGATAATTTTCTGGTATATGATGGAAAAAACTGGTGTTGGATCCATGGGGAAGGTCGAAGGGGGCCACGCATACTGTTTTATTTTCGCATTCCAGAAAATTAGCGCACTCCAGGGGTGGCATCGTACTCTATCGGTGGAATTAGTTTGCACGGAAGAAAGCAGGATCGTCGATGATTTGTGTTCCGAGATCCTATTGTGCAGGGCTCTTTGCGGGGCCACAAAGATGTCAAGAAAGATGGGGATGGCGCTGCTGGTGAAAGGCCAGCCAAGCGTGCCAGAACATAAGCTTAAAGCTTATGAATTGGGTTTTGAGATCCTGAAAAGTGTAGATGACAAATTCCCATAAGAACATTATTAATCCATTTTTGGAAAGCTCAACATTACTAATTATGACATTTCCAGAAATTGTTGAAAGTAAGGATCTTCTTTGCGGAAGAACATGTGCAGTCGACAACGTACGTGCCAGAAGAAAAGGAGTACTTGGCAAACTGTATGAAATACAAATTTCACCTGAAAGGGGTCTTCGCAATTCCCTGAAATTTCCCAGCTATTTTGGCATGGAATATGTTCGGCCCTGGAATATGGGCAAGAAATTGCTAGAATGCTGATCACCCGATGGATTTCGATGTGATTTTTTGGGACAAATACATCCGAACGGCCCAGAAATCGGCCCAGCGTTTTTCATCAATTTTCATGTTCATTGTGATTTTCGTCTTGTTGAAAATTAATGAAAATTTGGCATTTGCCACATGTTTATATCATGGTGGTGTCTTTCGGCACTTCATTTCCATTGGGGTTTATGAACAATCCTTGTTTTATTGCAGTGGCAGTTCAAAAATGCATGTTGAACACCCTCAAACAACTTTACGTTTTTTGGGTCGTTTTTCGTTTCGCCAAAGCGCCAGCGATTCTTTTCCATCGCTTCAACTTGCATACATGAAGTGTGTTCATGGCACCGGATTAAAAAAAAAACGCATGCACGCAACGAAGCACGAAGTGTGTTCACCGAATGCGCAACGTAACGCGAAGTGTGTTCACCGAATTAAAACATACGCACGCGACGCAACGTGAAGAGTGTTCACAGAAGTATACAACGCGCAACGTAGCATGAAGCGCGCTCACCGAAGAACAACAGAAGTGCGCAACGTAACATGAAGTGTGTTCACCGAAGTACAACATACGTGTGCAACGTAACATGGAGCGTGTTCACCGAAGTACGGCAGAAGTGTACAACGTAGCATGAAGTGTGCTCACGGAATTACAAAACACGCGCGCAGCGTAGCATAAAGCGCGTTCACCGAATTAAGACGCACGCGCGCGCCATGAAGCGCGTTCACCGAATTAAAACACACGCGCGCAGCGTAACATGAAGCGCGCTCACGGAAGTACAACATACGTGCGCAACGTAACATGTTCACTGAAGTACAACAGAAACGCGCAGCGTAACATGAAGTGTGTTCACCGAAGTACAACAGAAGTGTGCAACGCAACGTGAAGTTTGGTCACTGAAGTACAGCACACTCGCGCAGCGAAACGTGAAGCGTGTTCACCGAACTAAAACATACACGCGCGCAACGTAACATGCAGCGTGTTCACCGAAGCACAGCACATCCGCGCAAAGCAGCATGAAGTCTGTTCGATCAACAGAAGCGTGCAACGCAACATGAAGTTTTAGTCACCGAAGAAAGACAGAAGCGCGCAACGTAACGTGAAGTTTGGTCACCGAAGTACAACGTACGCGCGCAACGTAACATGAAGTGTGTGCACGGAATTGAAACATACGCGCGAAACGTAACATGAAGTGTGTCTTCACCGAAGTACAACATATCCGCGCAACGAAGCATGAAGTGTGTTCACCGAAGTGCAACAGAAGTGCGCAACGTAACGTGTGTTCACCGAATTTCAAAAAAAAAAGGCGCGCAGCGTAACATGAAGCGCGTTCACCGAAAGCACACGCGCGCAACGCAACATAAAGTGTGTTCACCGAAGTACAACACACGTGCGCAACGTAAAATGAAGTGTGTTCACCGGATTTAAAAAAACGCGCGCAGCGTAACATGAAGCGCGTTCACCGAATTAAAGCACACGCGCGCAACGTAACATGAAGTGTGTTCACCGAAGTACAACACGCGTGTGCAACGTAACATGAAGTGTGTTCACAGAAGTACAACACACGCGCAACGTAGCATGAAGTTTGTTCCGAAGTACAACAGAAGTGCGCAACGTAACATGAAGTTTGGTCACCGAAGTACAACATACGTGTGCAACGTAACATGGAGCGTGTTCACCGAAGCACAACAGAAGCGCGCAACGTAACATGAAGCGCGTTCACCGAATTAAAGCACACGCGCGCGCGGCGTAGCATGAAGCGCGTTCACATCGACCGCGCAGCGTAACATGAAGCGCGTTGACCGAAGTACACCAGAAGCGCGCAACGTAACAGGAATTGTGTTCACCGAAGTACAACACACGCGTGTAACGTAGCATGAAATGCTATTACACCTCCCCCCCCCGCCCCAACCCCCCGCCCAAAACAGAAGTGCGCAACGTAACATGAAGTGTGTTGGCCGAAGAAAATCGATGATAACGTATAGACACAGGACGTTATTACACCCCCCCACCCCACCCCCCGCCCCCCAACATATCACAACACAAAAAAAACGCAAAATCGCTGGGCCGGTTTTCGGGCCGTATGTTGAAAAATGTGGAGCAAGGATTTGACTCCAAACATATCTACACATAAGGCTTGGTTTTGGGTGTTCAGCAGGGATTTTACTCCAATAGATGTAGGCGTCCTATCTACTTTGCCGTATAGAACCATTTCTGAGCACCGGTGTGGAGACGGGTCCAAGAAAACTACAGGAACATGTCCCATACAAGTACCTAGGTGAATGCAGATATGTTCCAGGAGCACTACTTGCACTCAGTGCTGCAAACAGCATGTCGCAGCATGTCACAGCCATATTTGCAACATCATTCACAATTCGAATCATGCTATATTGCGGAGGAGGGTGTTGGAACAAAAGAATCATAAAGAACCCTCCTCACCCTCAGAAGACAGGCCAAACTCACCACTGCCTGCGCCACAGCATCCCTGTGGCTCATGCCACCTTCGATCAAACCAGCCATGTGGGCCATTCCTGCCAAAGGGGACTGCAGCATATGGGCCCGGCCTACATCAGCAACAGAATGATTTGATTTCAGTCCCATACCAGGCCTGATGCTTTGTATCTTCATGCCTTCGAACAGAATGCAGCTTTGTCAGGCTCTCAACCGGGTAAATTCATGTGACTAGTCCCTCCGCCCATTAGCAACCGCAGTAGCCACCTGGAACCCTGGTTTTGAACGCTCCCCTCAAACACAATCCGGACAGCGGTCCTGCAGACATGATTGCGTTGCAAACCATCACTGGGAAGCAACAGTTCTGCGAGGAGCCCACGGCGCGGAATTCGAACCGGTTGCCGCAGAAGGGGAAGGGTGCGGTACCTGGAGGTCCAGCAGAACTAATAGCTGGGAAGCCTATGTTCAAACAAACCCCCACAAGGAGCGGGGATAAAGTGGAAATTTGTTGGGGCTGCGTTTGTCAATCCGTCAGCGCAGGCTCAGTGCAATTAAAAATTGGAATTTCAATGAATTTGACCCTTGGTAGATCCTGGAAGTCTGCATTCAATATGCTTGGTGAGGTCTGCTTACAGTTAAAAATGCGTCATACCCGCTCCGCAACGCTGTGTCTTGGGTTGGACATGTATCGCGCTATGAAATAGGGAATCCTCACATTCGCCATGAACTAATTCCCTATTCACTGAGGCACAACCATCCCCTTATATATATGATCCTACAATATCCTACATGGCTATATCGTCTAACCATATCCAATCCAACTCTGGACAGCTGTACACTGTACAAATGGCATTTGCAGCAGCCGACTGTTCGGCCGAAGGCACGGTTTCGATCCTCAACAGGGGCCTCGATGTGCATGGCGGCGCTGCAGCCGGTGGCCTGCTTCTTCTTCTCGGCCTGCATCGCAACCCAAAACCACAAGGGGAATCCCCAAAAACATGGATTTACTGGGAAAACAAACCCTTGGTGATGTGGATGTCTTTCTTGGCCAATAAATCTAGCAATGTCATATCCCAGCAAATATCAACTTGCAAAAAAGAGCTATCAACTATAGGGCTGGCACTGCTCCAAAAAAACATCGAACACCATTATATACTGCAAGACTTTCTGGCCTTTAACCCCCCCCAGTCATCCCATAGTTCCTTTCTCTTCCGGATAAATCATAATAATTCATCAACCTGAGAAGTTTGGCCATTTGGGGATGATTCCCCTTATGTCGCGATGTGAGGGTGTGATCAAATTTATCCAGATCTACTTGTTACAGCTAAAGTTATAAGCTGCAATCGTGTATGTGTTTATAGCTGAATAAATGTTTTGACATGTGATTTTAATATCATTAAATCTTACTAATCCCGCATCCCTTGTCTTAAACTCTTAAACACCCCCTTAAATGGTCCCAAAATATATAATCCCGGATGAAACCGTGGTTTGACCCATGGAAATCCGGCGCCGGCCTTGTACCCCAGCAAATCGCCTCCCGCCACGATGGATTCCATGAATGTCTCGAAGCCTTGGCCGGGATACCTCAGTGAAGGGTATCCGGCATCAAGTCGCCCAAGGACCGCGAGTTGAATGGTCAAGAGCCATGGTACAGTTGTAAATATATATATGCGTTTATGTATGTATACAAGTGTGTGTATATATAAATATATATGATGTATGCTTGGTGTTGTGCTACAAACTCCTCCGACAATATGCGTTGTGTCTTGCTATGCTTTGGTATGTGCTGGTCAGTGTTTGAATACATCTAGCGTCGGAAAAAACGGCCTGAATCATCAATAGTTGTTCGTTCAATATCCCTACCCCTATAGAGGGGGACGGCGGAGGGGAAAAAACCAAGCTGTCGAATTCCATTTTTTTTGCTTGGAAACCCTGGGATAGTGATCCAACCCCTCAAATGGAATTGTAAAGTAACATTTCTTAACAAGCCTTGGGCACTGGCTAGAAAATACTCGCGCTTAGCTCCGGAGGAGCTAAGCGCAAGTATGATGACGGCGGCGCAATTTCTGGAGGGATGCCATCCCTACATATGTGCTGCTTCAGTCTGACATGTGCTTAATTTTCACCTGCTTGCCAATGACATGGAATGATGAGGAATATTGATCATTGAGAAAGCATTATTGCAAAAATGGAATTTTAAAATGAAATTTCAGTGTGACTCCCCCCCTCAAATTCAATTTTTAAGAGGGTAGGGATCCTTCAATCTCATTTTCGGTTGCTGGCAATGCATTGCATTGACATTGTAAATCTACATCTTTCATCTTAAAATCACAAAACAGATCCCCAAAAAACAAATGTAGCACACTTATATTCTATTTTATAACAAACACTAAGAAAACATCGAATTTCGAGCCATCCTCCCCGGAATCCTCCCCCAACCCATCCTCCCAGGCCAAGGCACAAGGAGATGATGGCAGGCGGCGCCTCCTGGGCTCCCAGGCGATGGTCGTTGCCGGCGCCGGCCACGGTGCAGCGGACCATCTCGTTGTACTGCGAGAGGCCGTAGGCCAGGCAGGCGATGGCCGTGACGTAGAGCTTGGCATGCGCCTGAATGGGCATATTCATTATATAATGCGGGTAAAACAATAATAAATCATCATGTGGGAATGGTTACCACCTATTTATGGTGATTTGAGGGATGGTGTATGGCATTGTCTTACCCACATTACACTAAAAGACTAGGAGTTGAAGAAAGAAACAAAGAAAAAAGTAAGAATTGATTGTGGGAAAAATGGAATTGACCAACTCAAATACTCAAGTTGAACCAGCCAGAATAGGGAGTTAACCAACCAAAGTACATGAAAATACCATCGTCCCGGTATTCATTCAATTTACTTGGGGGTTGTTGGGATTGGCTTTATGGGGATGATGAAAGAATGGAAATAACTGATATATGTTTCTTATAACTTAATTATTGTTATCAGCGGTGTGCGGACTTATCAGCAGTGAGGGGATATAGGAATGGGATGGAATTTGGAATGTAGAGTAATTCGTGTAGGTGAAGATGCTTGGTATCTGACGCCAGGTTGCCAAAAATGCGGTGTGTACACTCACTCATTTTGGTCTCCTAGTTAAAGAGGACATAAATTGCTACCAATGGAAATTTTCCGATAGGTCCATGACACTCAAATATCCAAAGAGATGGATCGCATGCTTTCCTACTGGCCCAATCCAGATCTTCCGGATTCTTCCGGCCTCAGTCTTGCCAGGGTAGAAGAAGTTGATTCCCGTGTCGGTTCCAATGGACCAGTTGGCGTGCTTGCCACTTCCGTTGATGCCGGCGAAGGGCTTCTCATGGAAAAGCACCTGTTCCAAGCGCATGTTTGGATCCCGAGTGCCTTATTGTGGCAGTTGTGGCCTCATTTCGCTCTGGTGGGAAAAGGAAGAGACTGAACAAACAACACGTACTGCAGATATGTACGTCATATAACCAAAGCTGACGTTTAATAGGATGTTGTACTAAGGCTCTAGCTACACAACAACGTCGCATCCCCACGAAAAGTCCCGCAATCACATCCACCTCACCACCACTGGTTGGTGATTTCAACACCAGAGAAAATATCAGTCATTTGGAATTATCATCCCAAAGGTAGCCTTGAACATTAGCCAAATTATCATTGGTTAGTTGTATACCCATATATATCCCCATGAAACCGCCATTTGGAGGTATATCTCCCTTTTTTTAAACCCCAAACCACCAAACCATCAAACCATCCAAAACCATCCAACCAGGCAGACCTGCAAGCCCAACTTCTGCGCTTCCCGGTTCATGACCTCCATAAAGCACACGTTGCTGTCGCAGCTCACATTGGCCGTGCGGAAGACGGGCGACATTTCGTGCTGCCCCGGTGCCACCTCGTTGTGCTTCACCGCCATGGGGCAGCCGATCTTCAGCATCTCTGCCTGGGCAATGTCCAGCAACTCCTGGGCGCTGGGAGGTGCATGTTTCAGAATGGGTAGTCATTAAGGGGTAAAACCAGGGGATCTAACAAAAAATTGATTGGTTGGGATTAAAAACTCTTATGACATACTAAATAACTATGGATATATATATATATATAATTATATACCGCTTGGACCTGCACCCGAGTGGGTGGGGTTGATAATTATCTTGGATAGTGATGCCATCAAGCAGAGTCGTACCGTCCTGCACCCTGCCAGGGATTGGCTGGAAGTAGTTCAAGTCGCCCTGCTGATGTCTGGTGGGCAACTTGCCGAACAAGGTGCGGCCGCAGTTCACCAGGTCAGGCCTGGCCTTGTAGAGACCAGCTGGCATCACAAAGAACTCCTGCTCCCAACCCAGGTAGCTCTGCATGGCCTGAGGGGCGCGTTGCCTTTCATGTCTTCAGCTTTTTAGAACCGCAACAAACAACACGCAAAACCGTGCCTGAAGATGACTGAAGTGGAAAGAAATCAACGAACCCTGACCATCCAACTGCATGCCACCATGTCCCACCATGTCCCACCATGTCCCACCATGTCCCACCATGTCCCACCATGTCCCGCGTCGCAGGTCCCACCCAAAACCCCAGCCTTTGCATCAGTTCCGATGCCAATGGCTTTCAACAGCCTCAAGCCACTGACGGTCACTGCATCCATGGAGCGTAGCAGTGGCGTCTTCTCATCGATGCACTTGCCGAAGCGAGTCACGAAGGCGCAGGGAATGTAGAGGCACCTGATATCAGCCAAAACAAGGGGGCTGATGCGGGGGTCTCAATAATAAACCATCCTGAAGTTGCTGCTTATGATCAAATTTTACATCCATATGCACCCTGCTTGGGATAGCTGTTGATACCCCCAAGTCTTTGACGATAATTGGGGACATGCGGTACCATATCTACATTGACGAGCGGAGGTCGCGGAAATGATGGAACATGATAGCACTTGGGTGTCAGGAAAATCTAGGCGGCCCCTTGTGTCACACTGACTCATACTTTTATACCTGGCTTGATTAAAAGAATTATCAGAGCCCGACAGGAATCATACCATATAATATCCGCATCTAAACATATATCATATAATTATCTATTTCTATCAAAATGTAAATGGTCACACTTTTCCACATTTATGGCAGAATTTTCGCATACTTTCCCACATCTTCCCACTTCCCGGCCGTATCCACTGCCACCGGCCATGGCGCTTATCCATCACGAAGGGCGGCGAGGCGCGGTCCCAGGTGGTGAAGGCGGCCGCAGAGTGCGTCACGCGCAGCCCGCCGTTGGGGAAGGAGCTGCCGTCGGTTTCGCCCTGGAACAAACGTTCGTAAGGCAAGCAGGCCTGGCAGGATGGCAGGATGGCAGGATGTTGATTTGGCGAATATTTTTTTGGATTTCTTTGTTTGTTGGAAGATTCCTTTGAAGGTGTTTTGGGTATCTTAAGATTTTGTTTTGGAGGATTCCAAGGAGGTTGAAACAGGTTGAAATGGATTTGCCACAGGGCTGGGCGGAAAATCATTCTGGGATGAGGGCCCGGCCTTGATATTCAGGGTCTATACCCAAAATTTTGAATTGGTTGAAGACATGGACTTAGCAGGTAATCATTGGGGTTTCCATGGGTTTCCTGCAGATCGTCCTTAACAGTCCATTTGTCAAGCCGGTGAGGATCCCACAAAGATAGGGATGGTATGGGATGCCAAATAACTTGCAACAATCATGTGGCTGGCTGGGTCTCAATCCTTTATCCAATTTTACGCATTACCCACTCTGGAACTGCAGTTTCAATGTTGAGGCTCCAAATGGGATCAGTAGTCACACCCTCTGTGTGCATAGAAGTTTGTCTTGAAGCACACCCTGCGCTTTTCTGATGTGGTACCAGTAACGGTTTTTCCTACATCTACCATTGTCGAATATTATCCTCTGATTACTAAGCCTCCTGGAAAATTATCATGGGGTCCCCAAAATAGTGATATGTCCCAAATTAGTAATGCTGTTAACATGATGATTATAGATGGGATAACTATTGATCCCTCTTGTTTATTATCACCCCCAAAGTAGTTTAGCTAATTATAGATGCTACTTTCAAAACTAGCAACCTAGGGATAACTATTGATCCTGGCTTGGGTCATCCCTCCAATCGCATGCCGCCTTCATCGGCTTCGTGGTGAACCTGGTGAGGGATTTGCCGCCACCCTTTTTGGAATCCACCATATGTAGATCATAATAGATGCTGTATAATGTGTGTGGAATATAACATTATAATATAAACAAATTATATATTAGGAAATAAACAATTTGATATAACCAATATTTCAATTAGAAGAGTGTTATAAATACACACACATACATGTCCCATTGCTTGCTGGTTTGAAAGCAATGTCTTGCGGCTGAAATTATCATGACCAACACCAATATTGTTGAGTTCTATTTCAACAATATTCAACATGTTCGATATGTTATTTGTTTGATATTCAAATATCTTCAACAACATTGTTTCCCAGTCTATTTAATAAATAGTATTCCCCTGACAAAATGCAAAAAAAACATACATGGCCCTCCCTTGAGGCCCGGTGACTTGGAGCCGAACTCCAGGTCGATCAGGGTATCCTTCTTGAAGGCACCCAACATGCCGCCCACGGCGCCGCCGCCACCGCGCAGAGGGAAGAACCAATGGGCGAAATCCTGGGCGGATTTTTTCGATGGGAAAATGGGGAACCTCAATAAACTCATGGGGATTTATGGGGACACCCTGCTTTTTCAAAGAAAGCCACATGAGGTTCAGGATGCCGTTGATTTTGTGGAGAAAGTTTCTATATTATGTGATGCGTTTTAAAGTGGTTTGATATGTTTCACTTCGTTTGGATGTATTTTGAACATGTTTGAACATGTTTTGCGTATTTCTACTTTAAAAAATGTGTTTTCATTTGTCTGCAATGTCCTGATGTGTTAAAAACAACCCGCCTGATAGCAATGGGAATTGGTGGCCAAACCTGGTCTTTTAGGGGCTGAAATGGTGATCATCGGAAGAAACGGGATTCAAAGCAGCAAAAGCAGGGTTCAAATCTGAAGAAGATGACCGAACATATTGGAATTCAACAAGTTTCAAAATATTGGTACATGAAACTCATGAAACATGAAGATACAAGAAGATTAAGAAGCGACAATCCCAGCAAAAGGAGGTTTCAGTAGGATGGCCCCATTCTGGCTAGATCCTCATGTTCGGCCCCCATTTGTCAGCAGTTTTATCCACATTTTCATTCATGAAACTATGGTTGGGAAACCAGCGACCCAAATCAGCACCAAAATGTCCAACATCACTCCCACATGATCCGAAAATCACACCAAATCAGCTCGGGTCTGAAACCACCAAAACTCACCCCACAAGATCCCCAAGTCATCCAAAATCGCCAGAAAATCATCCCAAAATCACCCCCCAATCTTGTGCCACATCTCCCAGATTTATGTGAAAATCGTGGAACATCACCCCAAATCATCACCAAACATAATATGTAGCCTCTGGTAATTTGAGATAGCTGTTGCACATGGCAATTTATAGATGGTTTACCCATTCAAATTTATTTATTTTCCAAAGTTATCTTAGTTTACCAGAGGGTACCCTCTGGTAAACTAACATAGCTACGGAAAATCGCCATTTTTAATAGGTAAATCAACTATTTATTTCTATGGTCCATTTTCCATAGCCATGTTAGTTTACCAGAGGCTAACCGTCCAAGCTTCGATGGCACCAAACTCCCGTGCCCATTCGAAGATGGCTTCGGCGATGATCTTCTGATCCTCCTCGGGCGTTGGGGCACCACTGATGAGGCACTCATTGAAGCGTTGCAGAACGGCGCTGGGCAACTTCCTCGGCAAACCCTGGATTCCGTGGGGTGATGGAAAGGTTATGGAAAGGTTGATCGCAAAGTCATTAATTACAATAACCATCAACAACCCCGAATTAGAGTTAGCAGTAGTGTATCATTATATATAATATCCCTTAGCATTCGTTCGCAAACAGTTACTATGAGCTAAATAGACAGCAACCTCCTAAAAAAGAACAGTCAAATCCGAGTCTGACATAGTGGAAAATGATACTTTTTTGGTGTCACTAATGGATACTAAGGTTTCTATATATCATCACAGTGTATAACTCTTACATCTCTCAATGTGTTGTTAAGATTGCCCAGGTTGAAAGGGGTTGCGATCCACAGAGATCGCCTCAAAGGGCTCCTCAACCTGTGGATTTTACGATTCAAATATGGAATTGTCCAGTATTGTCAAAATATTTCTTCATTTCAACCTGCATTGGAACATGCTTGCCATCTGGTCATTTTTGCTTGACCATAATCATCATCGCTAATCCAGGGCATCTATTTGGTGGAATCATGATGGCATGTTAAATATCCACAGGTTTTCAAATGCCCCCAGGATCTCTTTATAGGGCAATCCCAACGAGATCCTCAGACGGTGTTTGTGGGGCGATCCCCCCAAGCAAAGAGGAGATGTCTTCGCCATCATGGCATCATCAAACATGGCAGTGCCCAAAGCTGCGAGTGCATCGGCCATGGCGAGGATTGGATGGGAGACGAGATCTGGTGTGCGAGACTACTCCTGAACTCAATTCACCAAAAAGAATCCAGTGAACATGCCAAAACAATGGGAAAATTGAACCATCCGCCATTTTTTCTTCTCTCGCCCTGCAAGCTTCGGACAGGGTCAGATTAAAATCATGGCCAAAGCGGCCGCTGCAGCTGAAGGTGCCAGCTCCACTGATCATCCGCAGCTTACAGAAAACCATAATGTGTGTTCAGGCACCGCATGCCGTGGTCACGCGATGCGAAAGGAAGACAGATGACGATCCGTCAAACCTGGGTATCTCAAAATAGAGGGGTTGAGGTCCCAAGTTGGTGCTGCTTCACTTGCGTTATCAACAGCCAGTGGGGGAGGCCGCCAGGCGGCTCCCCGCTTCCAATGAGCTCAGAAATGATGGGAGTAGATCATGGCTTCGTAAGTGGGATAAGGGTACCTGGGCCACGCAGAAGCCGAAGGCTGCATATCTCACGATCCCAAGGTCACACCAGTGAGGACTCAAACAAGAGAACCATTCCCAGCCACCCCAAAAAACTGCCTTAAACTTTGCTCATCAATCACGACCAGTGAATTCTAGTTATATCGTGTTATATCCCTGGGTTTCGCGAAATTTGAAGTCTTCGATCAACTCCCCAAATCCTCAACCATCTGCTCCTTCGTCCAGAATCACACAAAGGATGGAGAAACACAACAAACTTCATCCCGAAACTATCCTTACTCACAAAAAAGACTGGGTAATTCTTCCAAACAATATCCAACAACACCAACAAGAGATCCGCCACCAGGCACTCCATATGGGTTTCTCTGAAAATATCATGCCCCCAAATCCGCTGGTTAACGATTGGTTAACCATCAGTTTTCCTACACATGGGGCATGAATTTGGGTTAATCCACCGTTTTTAGATTTTCAGCCACACCATGTCGCACCTATCATATCAAAACTCCATCGCCATCTATCATTGGATGCTGTTCCCATTCTATGCCATTACACAATTATATGAATTGGTGAAAACCCTATCCTTTCCTGGTTAAGTCCCTATTTTGGCTGGTTAAACCCTGTTAAATCCCAATAAAAGAGCCAAGTCCAACACCGTTTTTCCATGATCAGCATCTCACGTGTTCATCAAATCCATGAAAACTCCATGAGCAAGTCATGCCATCTCCTTATATTCCTTACGGCGTTTTCTTCTCAAGATCATGGTTCCATCCCCCCGATGGTTCCCATTCTTCTCACTGCTTTCCCAAGGCACACGCCCTGTTCCATCAAATTCTCCGCCGCATCCACGGCCGTGCGCAGCTTCGCCATCAGCGGCTTCACGGTGTCGCAGAGGTACAGGGCCTCCTCCGGGAGACCACCGTGTGGCTTGGAGCTGAAGGAGGTCTTCAGCTTCTCCAGGTGCTCCACGATGCCTGAGTCACGAACCATGGAGTCCTGGTGGGGTGGGGAAACGAGGAACCTCGTTTTAGCGGACATCATGTCTCTTTTTGTTTCAACTAGCATGTTCTGAGGTTTTAGATAAATTGGGGATTGATAGTGGGGTTCTGATTGGTAAATTGATTAAGTTGGCCTATAACTAGGTAATTAGGCTAACTGTTGTTTTTTTCTATGTGTATAGAGTTGGATGGGATGATAAGAGAATTTATAATCACTGGGGGTGGCACCACCCTATAAAAATGGGCCATGGATTATCATGGAACCCCGGCTGACGAGAAAGAAACTAAAGAAGGCGATGCAGCAAAACAGGAATGGCAAATGGTGATCCAGTGCTCATCTCAGATATACCTTCGAAAGAAACCCAGTACGAAAAAAAAAATAGACAAATTATGTTCACCCGTGGCAATCGATTGACATAATAAACTGTCCAACCAATGTTGAGCCAGAAACGTAGATAGATAATTCATACAATGATTAAGGTTGAAGATGATTGAAGCAACTATGTTGTAAGTAATTCATCATAAGGTGAACCATGGTGCACCCCCGATGGTATTTATAGTTAAACATATATAGATATATATAGTTATATATGTATAAACAAGATATATATATAATTGAATTATAATTAAATAAATATATATATATAATTGTAAAAATAATTAAATAATTAATAAATAAATAAAAATAAATAAATCAAAAAAATAAAGAAACAAGGATAAATAAATAAATAAAGAAAGAAAGAGAAAATAAGTAAATAAATAAATAAATCAATAAATAAATAAATTTTTGAAAAACAAATAATATCAATAAAAACTAAATAAATAAATAATTTAATTAAATAAATAAATAAATAATTAAAATAAAAAATAATTTAAATAAATAAATAAATATATATATATATATATATTGCCTCATCATCAATCACTGCCGAGGGGAACCCATGATTTCAAATAATGATAAGTATTCAGGGCATGAGATTCCCGCAGGTGTCCAGGGACGGCGATCATCTTTTGAACATTGCAACCTGAATTCATTACACATTGCGCTAGCTGTTTAGATTCCGAAATGAACCGGAGCTGTGAAACCGTGAAACGGTGGAATTTGCGCAACCTCACACCGACTCTGGCAAATAAACATATGACATATTAAAACAAAATAACACTATAATACCCAAAGCATCACAAGACTGAGGGCAAGGACAGTAGGACTTGATTTGGATCATACCTCTATTTATTTATAGTAGCCACATGTAGCCACGGCCCATCATTGCAGCACCCTGCCCAAGCTGCTCTCATAGACCGTCTTGCGACTGCCCGCCAATTTCTCGAAGCCTTTGTACTTCTCCAGGTCCTTTTTCTGTGCCGCTGGGACATACCAATCTCCATGTGGAATGACACAGCTGCAGCAAACTTGTCACCAAACAAGTTTGACCAAAAGCACAGTCAGGTAGCAAGGCACTCAATCCATGACAGAATCTAAAAAACTGAAATCAGGTCCTTGGCGCCAGCAGGCAAGAAGCCGGTCTCGGTCATCTGCACCATGGTTTCAACTTCCTGAACTTGGCGATCTGCCCGAACAACCAGGTTTTGATCTTCAGGAATGGACGTGGGCAGTTTGGATCTACCAAGTGTAGGTGGGTGTCCTGCAGATAGATATGGTGGTTTCCTAAAATGGGGGTATCCCCAAATCATCAATTTTAATAAGATTTTCCATTAAATATCATCCATTAAATCATCAAAGGAAGAAAAACAAAACCATTAATAGGGGTACACCCATTTTAGGAAATTTCCATATCTGTAGTTGCTGAAATCTGGACTGGTCAGCAGCCGCGTTTGATTTCTGAAACGTGCCACTGTCAGAAAGTGAATTTATCCCAACCGGTCCCGTCTCATATTGAGGTTCTACACCTGTCCAATCCCCCAACAAACACCCTCAGTAAACATACCCGAACATTCCATTGATTCTCCAAGATTCTCCAAGTAAACATCTTCAGTTTCCCTCATCCCATCTCATCCCATAACTCAGCACCATCGACCCCCACAGATCAAAAATCAGCTGCCCAGTGACACAGCACATGGAGGAGATGTAGTTCTCGTACATCACTTCCTGACGGGCCTCGGTTTCCTCTTCGGTGTAGATCTTCAGGGTCTCCAGCAGCTTCCTTGGGAGCTTGGTGGGGCCCATCTGGAAGTGTGTAACTTAAGATGTAGACCACCGCAAATGCATCAAATGATTCGAAATCTTCAGAACTTTCATGAACGTACTGAATGTCATGTCTTGGTGCTTCAGCACTTCCCGGCACTTGCCTTTTTGTGTCGCTGGGCACAACATGAATTTGATGCCTAGTTGGTGCCTCCTTGGCGCTGATGGCAGGCGCTTCACAACTTCACCTCTCCATTCTTCAAAAGAAACTTGGGTAAAGCTAACATCCGCTCATAAATCCGCCCAAACAGCATCCAACAGCCATCTCAAATGCTCCAAACATTACACGCACACAAATATATAAATGCGATTCATAAAAAAGACAAACATAGGAAAACCTCTATGAATGTATGATCTATCCGAGCGGTCCAAGCATCTTGTTCTTCACCGAGTTCCAGGTCGCAATGGCCTTGGGCGTGGTGTTCAGATTGGGCAGCCCCCTTTTCTCGGCCTCCACGGGCCACTCGGCGCTGTAGCCGTTGCCCGTGAAGATCACGTGCTTGTTCTCCTTAAAGACCTGCCGTAGCAGCTACAGCACCGGGACTCGGGATGTTTATGGATGTCTTCTCCATGTGTTAGGTGATTTTGAGGTGATTTAGGTGATTTTGACATGACAATGCTGATCACCCGATGGATTTCGATGTGATTTTTGGGGCAAATACATCCGAACGGCCCAGAAATCGGCCCAGCGTTTTCATCAATTTTCATGTTCATTGTGATTTTCGTCTTGTTGAAATTTGGCATTTGCCACATGTTTATAATTATCATGGTGGTGTCTTTTGGCACTTCATTTCCATTGGGGTTTATGAAAAATCCTTGTTTCATTGCAGTGGCAGTTCAATCGCATGTTGACCACCCTCAAACAACGTTACGTTTTTTGGATGGTTTTTCGTTTCGCCAAAGCGCCAGCGATTCTTTTCCATCGCTTCAACTTGCATAACATGAAGTGTGTTCACCGAATTGAAAAAACACACGCGTGCAACGAAGCACGAAGTGTGTTCACCGAATGCGCAACGTAACGCGAAGTGTGTTCACCGAATTAAAACACACGCGCGCAACATAACGTGAAGCGCGTTCACCGCATAAAAACGCACGCGCACAACGTAGCATGAAGACAAGCGAAGTGTGCAACGTAACGTGAAGTGTGTTCACCGAAGTGACAACATACGCGTGCAACGTAATATGAAACGTGTTCACCGAAGTACAACAGAAGTGTACAACGTAACGTGAAGTGTGTTCACGGAATTACAGCACACGCGCGCAGCGTAGCATAAACTGCATTCACCGAATTAAAACACACGCGCGCGGCATAGCATGAAGCGCGTTCACCGAATTAAAACACACGCGCGCGGCGTAACATGAAGCGCTTTCACCGAAGTACAACATGCGCAACGTAACATGAAATGTGTTCACTGAAGTACCAACAGAAGCGCGCAGCGTAACATGAAGTGTGTTCACCGAAGTACAACCGCAACGTGAAGTTTGGTCACTGAAGTGCAGCACACGCGCGCAGCGCAACGTGAAGCGTGTTCACCGAAATAAAACACACACCCGCGCAACCTAACATGAAGCGTGTTCACTGAAGCGCAGCAGAAGCGCGCAACGTAACATGAAGTGTGTTCACCGGAGATCAAAAGAAGGGTGCAACGCAACATCAAGTTTTTTAGCCACCGAAGAAAGACAGAAGCGCGCAATGTAGCGTGAAGTTTGGTCACCGAAGAAAGACAGAAGCGCGCAACGTAACGTGAAGTTTGGTCACCGAAGTGCAACATACGCGCGCAACGTAACATGAAGTGTGTTCACCCGAATTCAAACACACACGCGCACATGAAGCGCGTTCACCGAATTAAAGCACACGCGTGCAACAGAACATGAAGCGCGTTCACCGAATTAAACACACGCGCGGAATGAAGCGCGTTCACCGAAGTACATCAGGACACCGCGTAAAATGAAGTGCGTTCACCGAATTAAAACACACGCGCGCAATGCAACATGAAGCGCGCCCGCGCAGCGTAACATGAAGTGTGGTCACCGATGTACAACAGAAGTGTGCAACGCAAACATGAAGTGTGTTCACCAAGTTAAAACATACGGGCGCAATGTAACATGAAGTGTGTTCACCGAAGTACAACATACGCGCGCAACGAAAAATGAAGTGTGTTCACCGAAGTTCAACAGAAGTGCGCAACGTAACATGAAGTGTGTTCACCGAATTTTAAAAAAAAAGGCGCGCAGCGTAATATGAAGCGCGTTCACCGAATTAAAGCACACGCGCACAACGTAACATGAAGTGTGTTCACCGAAGTACAGCGCACATGCGCAACGTAACATGAAGTGTGTTCACAGAAGTACAGCAGAAGCGCGCAATGTAGCATGAAGTGTGTTCACCGAAGTACAACAGAAGCGTGCAACATAACATGAAGTTTGGTCACCGAAGTACAACATACGTGTGCAACGTAACATATCATGTGTTCACCGAAGTACAACAGAAGCGCGCAACGTAACATGAAGTGTGTTCACCGAATTAAAGCACACGCGCGCAGCGTAGCATGAAGCGCGTTCACCGAATTAAACACACGCGCGCAGCGTAACATGAAGCGGGTTCACCGAAGTACACCAGAAGCGTGCAACGTAACAGGAATTGTGTTCACCGAAGCACAACACACGCGTGCAACGTAGCATGAAACGTTATTACGCAATATTACGCCCCTCCCCCCCGCCCCACCCCCGCCAAAAAACAGAAGTGCGCAACGTAACATGAAGTGTGTTCACCGAAGAATCGATGATAACGTAGACACAGGACGTTATTGCACCCCCCGCCCCCCAACATATCACAACGCAAAAAAAACGCAAAAACGCTGGGCCGGTTTTCGGGCCGTAGGCAAATACATGTTGAAAGAGATGTTGAGCAAGGATTTGACTCCAAACATATCTACACATAAGGCTTTGTTTTGGGTGTTCACCAGGGATTTTACTCCAATAGATGTAGGCGTCCTATCTACTTTGCCGTATGAACCATTTCTGAGCACCGGTGCGGAGACGGGTCCAAGAAAACTACAGGAACATGTCCCATACAAGGTCCCATACAAGTACCTACGTCAATGCAGATATGTTCCAGGAGCACTACTCGCACTCAGTGCTGCAAACAACATGTCGCAGCATGTCACAGCCATCTTCGCAACATCATTCACAATTCGTTGCGGAGGAGGGTGTTGGAACAAAAGAATCATAAAGAACCCTCCTCAATCTCAGAAGAAAGGCCAAACTCACTAAACTCACCACTGCCTGCGCCACAGCATCCCTGTGGCTCATGCCACCTTCGATCAAACCAGCCATGTGGGCCATTCCTGTCAATGGACTGCAGCATATGGGCCCATCAGCAACAGAATGGTTTGATTTCAGTCCCATACCAGGCCTGATGCTTTGTATCTTTATGCCTTCGAACAGAATGCAGCTTTGTCAGGCTCTCAACCGGGTAAATTCATATGACTATATAGTCCCTCCGCCCATTATAGCAACCGCAGTAGCCACCTGGAAAAACCCTGGTTTTGAACGATGAGCTGAGGAACTCCCCTCAAAAACCATCCGGACAGCGGTCCTGCAGACATGATTGCGTTGCAAACCATCACTGGGAAGCAACAGTTCTGCGAGGAGCCCACGGCGCGGAATTCGAACCGGTTGCCGCAGAAGGGGAAGGGTGCGGTACCTGGAGGTCCAGCAGAACGAATAGCTGGGAAGCCTATGTTCAAACAAACTCCCCACAAGGAGCAGGGATAAAGTGGAAATTTGTTGGCGGTGCGTTTGTCACTCCGCCAGCGCAGGCTCAGTGCAATAAAAAATTGGAATTTCAATGAATTTGACCCTTGGTAGATCCTGGAAGTCTGCATTCAATATGCTTGGTGAGGTCTGCTTACAGTTAAAAATGCATCATACCCGCTCCGCAACCCTGTGCCTTGGGTTTGGACATGTATCGCACTATGAAATAGGGAATCCTCACATTGGCCATGAACTGAGGCACGACCATCCCCCTATATGATCCTACAATATCCTACATGGCTATATCGTCTAACCATATCCAATCCAACTCTGGACAGCTGTGCGCTGTACACTTGGCATTTGCAGCAGCCGACTGTTCGGCCGAAGGCACGGTTTCGATCCTCAACAGGGGCCTCGATGTGCATGGCGGCGCTGCAGCCGGTGGCCTGCTTCTTCTTCTCGGCCTGCATCGCTGCACAAAACCACAAGGGGAATCCCCAAAAACACGGATTTACTGGGAAAACCCTTGGAGATGTGGATGTCTTTCTTGGCCAATAAATCTAGCAATGTCATATCCCAGCGAATATCAACTTGCAAAAAAGAGTTTTCAACTAGGGTTGGCACTGCTCCAAGAACCATCGAACACCATTATATACTGCAAGACTTTCTGGCCTTTAACCACCCCCCAGTCATCCCATAGTTCCTTTCTCTTCCGGATAAATCATAATAATTCATCAACCTGAGAAGTTTGGCCATTTGGGGATGATTCCCCTTATGTCGCGACGTGAGGGTGTGATCAAATTTATCCAGATCTAATTGTTACAGCTAGAGTTATAAGCTGCAATATGCTGCAATCATTTATGTGTTGATAGCTGATTTTAATATCATTCATTAAATCTTACAAATCCCGCACCCCTTGTCTTAAACTCTTAAACGGCCCCATAAATGGTCCCAAAACATAATCCCGGATGAAACCGTGGTTTGACCCATGGAAATCCGGCGCCGGCCTTGTACCCCAGCAAATCGCCTCCCGCCACGATGGATTCCATGAATGTCTCGAAGCCTTGGCCGGGATACCTCAGTGAAGGGCATCCGGCATCAAGTCGCCCAAGGACCGCGAGTTGAATGGTCAAGAGCCATGGTACAGTTGTAAATATATCATGCACACACACATATATATATATACGTTTATGTATGTATATAAGTATGTGTATATAAATATAAATATAAATAAATATATATATATATGTATTTATATATTTATTTATATACCAGGCAGTTACTTCTGCCCTCTAATGGAAGCCACTTAGACCCAAAGTGCCAAACGGTCACTTACAAGATCAATCATGCATAAGTGACCTCGTTTCATGAATCCTTGAGTGACCTCTTTGTCTGGCTGATCTCATGATTTCTGCGTGTCACTGCGTGTCACTTGCGTGTCACTGGGGTTTCGAGGTGGGATGAAACGAGGTCACTTAGAACCCTGAAAAGGTCACTTAAGCCTTGAAAAGGTCACTTAAGGATTGGCTGTCTGCGTGTCACCTGCGTGTCACGTGCGTGTCACTGGTAGGCCACTGTTTGGTTCGTTTCCTTAAGTGACCTCTTTCTACGTTTTCCTTAACTGACCTCTTTCTAAAGGCCACTTAGCAGAAAACACAAACAACGTCACAAGGAATCGTCTGGTATATGTATATATATATATCTATATCTATATATATGATATATGTTTGGTGTTGTGCTACAAACTCCTCCGACAATATGCGTTGTGTCTTGCTATGCTTTGGTATGTGCTGGTCAGTGTTTGAATACATCTAGCGTCGGAAAAACGGCCTGAATCATCAATAGTTGTTCGTTCAATCTGATTTTCGGTTGTTGGCAATGCATCGCATTGACATTGTAAATCTACATCTTTCATCTTAAAATCACAAAACAGATCCCCAAAAAACAAATGTAGCACACTTATTCTATGTTATAACAAACACTAAGACACTAAGAAAACATCGAATTTCCAGCCATCCTCCCCCAACCCATCCTCCCAGGCTAAGGCACAAGGAGATGATGGCAGGCGGCGCCTCCTGGGCTCCCAGGCGATGGTCGTTGCCGGCGCCGGCCACGGTGCAGCGGACCATCTCGTTGTACTGCGAGAGGCCGTAGGCCAGGCAGGCGATGGCCGTGACGTAGAGCTTGGCATGCGCCTGGATGGGTATATTCATTATATAATGCGGGTAAAACAATAATAAACCATCATGTGGGAATGGTTACCACCTATTTATGGTGATTTGGGGGATGGTTTATGGCATTGTTTTACCCACATTATACTAAAAGACTAGGAGTTGAAGAAAGAAACAAAGAAACAAGTAAGAATTGATTGTGGGAAAATGGAATTGACCAACTCAAATAATCAAGCTGAACCAGCCAGAATAGGGAGTTAACCAACCAAAGTAATTACATGAAAATACCATACTATTGGCGCTTGAGCCACCAAGAAACGAAAGTTATTTGGGAACATCGTCCCAAACAGAAAACGACGATGTGAAACCACCAATCAAAACGAGTGGAAGGGAGCACGGATTAGGATGATAGAAGATGTTAGAATACTTGAAAACGTTGTGCGTGTAACCCGTATCAACGGTATTCATTCAATTTACTTGGGGGTTGTTGGGATGGGCTTCATGGGGATGATGAAAGAATGGAAATAACTGATATGTGTTTCTTATAACTTAATTATTGTTATCAGCGGTGTGCGGACTTATTGCTATCAGCAGTGAGGGAATATAGGAATGGGATGGGGTTTGGAATGTAGAGTAATTAGTGTAGGTGAAGATGCTTGGTATCTGAAGCCAGGTTGCCAAAAATGCGGTGTGTACACCTAGTTAAAGAGGACATAAATTGCTGCCAATGGAAATTTTCCGATAGGTCCATGCCACTGACATATCCAAAGAGATGGATCGCATGCTTTCCTACTGGCCCAATCCAGATCTTCCGGATTCTTCCGGCCTCAGTCTTGCCAGGGTAGAAGAAGTTGATTCCCGTGTCGGTGCCAATGGACCAGTTGGCGTGCTTGCCACTTCCGTTGATGCCGGCGAAGGGCTTCTCATGGAAAAGCACCTGTTCCAAGCGCATGTTTGGATCCCGAGTGCCTTATTGTGGCAGTTGTGGCCTGATTTCGCTCTGGTGGAAAAAGGAAGAGACTGAACAAACAACACGTACTGCAGATATGTACGTCATATAACCAAAGCTGACGTTTAATAGGATGTTGTACTAAGGCTCTAGCTACACAACAACCTCGCATCCCCACGAAAAGTCCCGCAATCACATCCACCTCACCACCACTGGTTGGTGATTTCAACACCTGAGAAAATATCAGTCATGTGGAATTATCATCCCAAAAGTAGCCTTGAACATGAGCCAAATTATCATTGGTACAGATAGTTGTATACCCACTCATATCCCCATGAAACCACCATTTGGAGGTATATCTTCCTTTTTTCCGACCCCAAACGATCAAACCATCAAACCATCCAAAACCATCCAACCAGGCAGACCTGCAAGCCCAACTTCTGCGCTTCCCGGTTCATGACCTCCATAAAGCACACGTTGCTGTCGCAGCTCACATTGGCCGTGCGGAAGACGGGCGACATCTCGTGCTGCCCCGGTGCCACCTCGTTGTGCTTCACCGCCATGGGGCAGCCGATCTTCAGCATCTCTGCCTGGGCGATGTCCAGCAACTCCTGGGCGCTGGGAGGTGCATGTTTCAGAATGGGTAGTCATTAAGGGGTAAAACCAGGGGATCTAAAACTTATTGATTGGTTGGGATTTAAAACTCCTATATGACATACTATATAACTATGGCTATATATATATAAATATATATAATGCAATGTATAACCACTTGGACCTGCACCCGAGTGGGTGGGGTTGATAATTATCTTGGATAGTGATGCCATCAAGCAGAGTCGTACCGTCCTGCACCCTGCCAGGGATTGGCTGGAAGTAGTTCAAGTCGCCCTGCTGATGTCTGGTGGGCAACTTGCCGAACAAGGTGCGGCCGCAGTTCACCAGGTCAGGCCTGGCCTTGTAGAGATCAGCTGGCATCACAAAGAACTCCTGCTCCCAACCCAGGTAGCTCTGCATGGCCTGAGGGGCGCATTGCCTTTCATGTCTTCAGTTTTTTAGAACCGCAACAAACAACACGCAAAACAGTGCCTGAAGATGACTGAAGTCGAAAGAAATCAACGAACCCTGACCATCCAACTGCATGCCACCATGTCCCACCATGTCCCACCATGTCCCACCATGTCCCACCATGTCCCACCATGTCCCACCATGTCCCACCATGTCCCACCATGTCCCACCATGTCCCACGTCGCAGGTCCCACCCAAAACCCCAGCCTTTGCATCAGTTCCGATGCCAATGGCTTTCAACAGCCTCAAGCCACTGACGGTCACTGCATCCATGGAGCGTAGCAGTGGCGTCTTCTCATCGATGCACTTGCCGAAGTGAGTCACGAAGGCGCAGGGAATGTAGAGGCACCTGATATCAGCCAAAACAAGGGGGCTGATGCGGGGGTCTCAATAATAAACCATCCTGAAGTTGCTGCTTATGATCAAATTTTACATCCGTATGCACCCTGCTTGGGATAACTGTTGATACCCCCAAGTCTTTGACGATAATTGGGGACATGCGGTACCATATCTACATTGACGAGCGTAGGTCGCGGAAATAATGGAACATGATAGCACTTGGGCCCCAGGAGAATCTAGGCGGCCCCTTGTGTCACACTGAGTCATACTTTTATACCTGGCTTGATTAAAAGAATTATCAAAGCCCGACAGGAATCATACCATATAATATCCGCGTCTAAACATATATCATCGAAGGAAGTTTAGAAGTTAAACTTCCGACAATATGGACAGATAAAAAGCAGAGCAGGGAAGAGGCAGAGAGAAGAGAAAGAGTAAGAAGAAAGAAGATGGAGGTGCGCGAAAAGGTACGAAAGTCGCGAAGCACTGTGTTTTTTCGTGGTTTTGTAGCTCCGGAGGGTTGAAAAGTAGGCTCGCTAAAGCGGCGGGTGCGGAGCCAGCTGGCGAGATGAGAGATGAAAAAGTGCACGCCGTTGTGGCGCGAAACACATTTCGAAGTCAAAATGTACAAAACACACCGGCTTCGGACCACTTTTGGAAGTTGAGATGTCGAAAAAGTGCACGCCGTTGTGGCGCGAAGCACATTTTGAAGTCAAAATGTACAAAGCACACCAGTGTCGGACCACTTTTGGAAGTTGAGATGTTGAAAAAGTGCACGCCGTTGTGGCGCGAAGCACATTTTGAAGTCAAAATGTACAAAACACACCATTCTCGGACCACTTTTGGAAGTTGCGATGTCCAAAAAGTGCACGCCGTTGTGGCGCGAAGCACATTTCGAAGTCAAAATGTACAAAACACACCAGGTTCGGACCACTTTTGGAAGTTGAGATGTCGAAAAAGTGCACGCCGTTGTGGCGCGAAGCACATTTTGAAGTCAAAATGTACAAAACACACCAGTGTCGGACCACTTTTGGAAGTTGCGATGTCAAAAAAGTGCACGCCGTTGTGGCGCGAAACACATTTCGAAGTCAAAATGTACAAAACACACCGGCTTCGGACCACTTTTGGAAGTTGAGATGTCGAAAAAGTGCACGCTGTTGTGGCGCGAAGCACATTTTGAAGTCAAAATGTACAAAACACCAGGGGTTCGGACCACTTTTGGAGGTTCAGATGTCGCTTCGCTTCACTACACTACACTACATTACACTACACTCCACTACACTACGCTCCACTACACTACACTACATTACACAACACTACAACTACAACTACACTCCAGTACACTCCACTACACTCCACTACACTACGCTACACTACACTACATTACACTACACTCCACTACACTACACTACATTACACTGCACTGCACTACCTTCCACTACACTTCACTACGTTACACTACTCTCCACTACACTACACTACATTACACTACACTGCACTACCTTCCACTACACTTCACTAGATTACACTACACTCCACTACACTACAACTACAACTACACAACTACACTCCACTAGAATACACTCCACTACACTCCACTACACTAAATTACACTACACTACACTACATTTTACTACGCTACACTCCGCTACACTACACTACATTACACTACACTACCTTCCACTACACTTCACTACATTACACTACACTACACTCCACTACACTACAACTACAACTACGACTACACAAGTACACTCCACTACACGAAATTACACTACACTACACTTCATTACACTACACTACACTACATTCCACTACACTCCACTACACTACACTACATTACACTACAATACACTGAATAACCCTGCGCCACAGATAGACAGGTAGACAGATAGACAGATAGACAGACAGACAGACAGATAGATAGATAGATAGACAGGTAGACAGCTAGACAGATAGACAGATGAAAGGGAGAGAGAGAGAGAGAGATAGATAGATAGGTAGATAGGTAGATAGGTAGATAGGTAGATAGGTAGATAGGTAATTAGATGAAAGAGAGAAAGAGAGAGACAGAGAGGAGACCTCAAGCACCTTTCGGTCCATCAGTGGATTCGCTTTGCCATCCCTGATTCACAACAACCAACCTCTCCTATAGGTTTCCTATTTTTGAAACTTCCGCCACCGCCTTGTGCGGTACTACTGGTATATCTGTTTCTATCAAAATGTAAATAGTCACACTTTTCCACATTTATGGCAGAATTTTCGTATACTTTCCCACATCTTCCCACTTCCGGGCCGTATCCACTGCCACCGGCCATGGCGCTTATCCATCACGAAGGGCGGCGAGGCGCGGTCCCAGGTGGTGAAGGCGGCCGCAGAGTGCGTCACGCGCAGCCCGCCGTTGGGGAAGGAGCTGCCGTCGGTTTCGCCCTGGAACAAACGTTCGTAAGGCAAGCAGGCCTGGCAGGATGTTGATTTGGCGAATATTTTTTTGGGATTTCTTTGTTTGTTGGAAGATTCCTTTGAAGGTATTTTGGGTATCTTAAGGACTTTTTTGGAGGGATTCCAAGGAGGTTGAAACAGGTTGAAATGGATTTGCCACAGGGCTGGGCGGAAAATCATTCTGGGATGAGGGCCCGGCCTTGATATTCAGGGTCTATACCCCAAATTTTGAATTGGTTGGAGACATGGATTTAGCAGGTGAACATGGGGGTTTCCATGGGTTTCCTGCAGATCGTCCTTAACATTGTCCATTTGTCAAGCCGGTGAGGATCCCACAAAGATAGGGATGGTATGGGATGCCAAATAACTTGCAAAAATCATGTGGCTCGCTGGGTCTCCATCCTTCATCCAATTTTACACATTACCCACTCTGGAACTGCAGTTTCAATGTTGAGGCTCCACATGGGATCAGTAATCACACCCTCTGTGTGCATAGAAGTTTGTCTTGAAGCACACCCTGCGCTTTTCTGATGTGGTACCAGTAACGGTTTTTCCTACATCTACCATTGTCGAATGTGATCCTCTGATTGCTAAGCCTCCTGGAATATTATCATGGGGTCCCCAAAATAGTGATATGTCCCAATTAGTAATGCTGTTAACATGATGATTATAGATGGGATAACTATTGGTCCCTCTTGTTTATTATCACTCCCTAGGTAGTTTAGCTAATTATAGATGCTACTTTCCCAATGAGCAATCTAGGGATAACTATTGATCCTGGCTAGGGTCATCCCTCCAATCGCATGCCGCCTTCATCGGCTTCGTGGTGAACCTGGTGAGGGATTTGCCGCCACCCTTTTTGGAATCCACCATATGTAGGTCATAATAGATGCTGTATTGTGTGTGGAATATAACATTATAATATAAACAAATTATATACTAGGTACTAGGAAATAAACAATTTGATAGAATCAAATATTTTAATTAAAAGAGTGTTATAAATACACACACACATACATGTCCCATTGCTTGCTGGTTTTAAAGCAATGTCTTGGGGTTGAAATTTTCATGACCAACACCAATATTGTGGAGTTCTATTTCAACAATATTCAATATACATGTTAATTATGTGATATTCAAAAATATTCAACAACATTGTTTCCGAGTCTATATAATAAATATTATTCCCCTAACAAAATGCCAAAAAAACAACATACATCGCCCTCCCTTGAGGCCCGGTGACTTGGAGCCGAACTCCAGGTCGATCAGGGTATCCTTCTTGAAGGCACCCAACATGCCGCCCACGGCGCCGCCGCCACCGCGCAGAGGGAAGAACCAATGGGCGAAATCCTCGTGATTTTTTCGATGGGAAAATGGGGAACCTCAAAAAACTTATGGGGATTTATGGGGACCCCCTTGTTTTTTCAAAGAAAGCCGGTTCAGGATGCTGTTGATCTGATCTTTATTTTGTGGAGAAAGTTTCTATATTATGTGATGCGTTTTAAAGTGGTTTGATATGTTTCACTTCGTTTGGATGTATTTTGAACATGTTTGAACATGTTTTGACTATTTCTCTGTTCAAAATGTGCTTCATTTGTCTGCAATGTCTTGATATGTTAAAAACAACCCGCCTGATAGCAATGGGAATTGGTGGCCAAACCTGGTCTTTTAGGGGCTTAAATGGTGATCATCGGGAGAAACGGGATTCAAAGCAGCAAAAGCAGGGTTCAAATCTGAAGAAGATGACCGAACATATTGGAATTCAACAAGTTTCAAAATATTGGTACATGAAACATGAAGATACAAGAAGATTAAGCGCCAATCCCAGCAAAAGGAGGTTTCAGTAGGATGGCCCCATTCTGGCTAGATCCTCATGTTCGGCCCCCATTGTATCCCCATTTGTCAGCAGTTTTATCCACATTTTCATTCATGAAACTATGGTTGGGAAACCAACCATCCAACATCATCCCCACATCCGAAAATCACACCAAATCATCTCGGATCTGTCACCAAAACTCACCCCAGATCCCCAAGTCATCCAAGTCATCGCCAGAAAATCATCCCAAAATCTCTCACAGATTCACCTGAAAATTATGGAACATCACCCCGTTTATCATCACCAAACATATGTAGCCTCTGGTAATTTGAGATAGGCTGTTGCACATGGCAATTTATAGTTATTGTACCCATTCAAACTTAATGATGTTCCATAGCAATCTTAGTTTACCAGAGGGTACCCTCTGGTAAACTAACATAGCTACGGAAAAACGTCATTTTTAATATAGGTAAATCAACTATAAATGGATATAAATGGTCCATCTTCCATAGCCATGTTAGTTTACCAGAGGCTAACCGTCCAAGCTTCGATGGCACCAAACTCCCGTGCCCATTCGAAGATGGCTTCGGCGATGATCTTCTGATCCTCCTCAGGGGTGGGGGCACCACTGATGAGGCAGTCATTGAAGCGTTGCAGAACGGCGCTGGGCAACTTCCTCGGCAACGCTGGATTCCGTGGATGGAAAGGTTATGGAAAGGTTATGGGGAAAGGTTGATCGCAATAATTAGGGCAGTCACTAATTACAATAACCATCAACAACCCCGAATTAGAGTTAGCAGTAGTATATGTATATAATTATAAAATATACCTTAGCATTCGTTCGCGAACAGTTACTATGAGCTAAATAGACAGCAACCTCCTAAACAAAGAACAGTCAAATCCGAGTCTGACGTAGTGGAAAATGATACCTTTTTTCGGTGTCACTAATGGATACTAAGGTTTCCATATATCATCACAGCGTATAACTTTTACATCTCTCAATGTGTTGTTATGATTGCACAGGTTGAAAGGGGTTGCGATCCCTCAACCTGTGGATTTTACGGTTCCAATATGGAATTGTCCCATGTTGTCCCCGTATTTCTTCAAGTCAACCATTTGACCATCGGGCCGTACTCATCATGGCAAATCCAGGGCATCGGTGAAAACATGATGGCATGTTAAATATCCATAGGTTTTCCAATGGCCCCAGGATCTCTTTATAGGGCAATCCCAACAAGATCAGGCCCAGGTGTTTGTGGGGTGATCCCCCAAGCAAAGAGGAGATGTCTTCGCCATCATGGCATCATCAAACATGGCAGTGCCCAAAGCTGCGAGTGCATCGGCCATGGCGAGGATTGGATGGGAGACGAGATCTGGTGTGCGAGACTACTCCTGAACTCAATTGGCTTAAGCCACCAAAAAGAATCCAGTGAACATGCCAAAACAATGAGAAAATTGAACCATCCGCCATTTTTTCTTCTCTCGCCCTGCAAGCTTCGGACAGGGTCAGATTAAAATAATGGCCATAGCGGCCGCTGCAGCTGAAGGATTTGGTGCCAGCTCCACTGATCATCCACAGCTTACAGAAAACCATAATGTGTGTTCAGGCACCGCATGCCATGGTCACGCGATGCGAAAGGAAGACAGTTGGCGACCCGTTCCCAAACCTGGGTATCCTCTCAAAAGGGGTTGAGGTCCCAAGTTCAGTGTCTGCAGATCCCAAGAGTATGCAAAATTGCGCTGCCTGGTGCTGCTTCACTTGCGTTATCAACAGCCAGTGGGGGAGGCCGCCAGGCGGCTCCCCGCTTCCAATGAGCTCAGAAATGATGGGAGTAGATCATGGCTTCGTAGGTGGGATAAGGGTACCTGGGCCACGCAGAAGCCAAAGGCTGCAAATCTCAGGATCCCAAATCAAGAGATCCGCCACCAGGCACTCCATATGGGTTTCTCTGAAAATATCATGCCCCCAAATCCGCTGGTTAACGATTGGTTAACCATCAGTTTCCCTACACATGGGGCATGAATTTGGGTTAATCCACCGTTTTCAGATTTTCAGCCACACCATGTCACACACATCAGATCAAAACTCCATCGCCATTTATCATTGGATGCTGTTCCCATTCTATGCCATTACACAATAATATGCATTGGTGAAAACCCTATCCTTTCCTGGTTGAGTCCCTATTTTGGCTGGTTAAACCCCCTTAAATCCCAATAAAAAAGCCAAGTCCAACACCGTTTTTCCATGATCAGCATCTCACGTGTTCATCAAATCCATTAAAAATCCATGAACAAGTCGCACCATCTCCTTATATTCCTTACGGCGTTTTCTTCTCAAGATCATGGTTCCATCCCCCCCAATGGTTCCCATTCTTCTCAGTGCTTTCCCAAGGCACACGCCCTGTTCCATCAAATTCTCCGCCGCATCCACAGCCGTGCGCAGCTTCGCCATCAGCGGCTTCACGGTGTCGCAGAGGTACAGGGCCTCCTCCGGGAGACCACCGTGTGGCTTGGAGCTGAAGGAGGTCTTCAGCTTCTCCAGGTGCTCCACGATGCCTGGGTCACGAACCATGGAGTCCTGGTGGGGTGGGGAAACGAGGAAACTCGTTTTAGCGGACATCATGTCTCTTTTTGTTTCAACCAGCATGTTTTGAGGTTTTAGATAAATTGGGGATTGGTATTGGGGTTCTGATTGGTAAATTGATTAAGTTGACCCTATAACTAGGTAATTAGGCTAACTGTTTTTTTTCTATGTGTATACAGTTAGATGGGATGGTAAGAGAATTTATAATAACTGGGGGTGGCACCACCCTATAAAAATTGGCCATGGATTATCATGGAACCCCGGCTGACGAGAAAGAAACTAAAGAAGGCGATGCAGCAAAACAGGAATGGCAAATGCTGATCCAATGCTCATCTCAGATATACCTTCGAAAGAAACCCAGTACGACAAAACAATAGACAAATTATGTTCACCCGTGGCAACCGATTGACATAATAAACTGTCCAACCAATGTTGAGCCAGAATAGTAGATAGATAATTCATACAATGATGAAGATTGAAGATGATTGAAGCAACTATGTTTGTAAGTAAGTAATCAAAAGGTGAACCATGGTTCACCCCCGATGGTATTTATAGTTTTACATATATATATATAAGTATATGCATTTATTAAATATATATTTAAATATATATTTGTTTATAATTGTATAAATTAATTAAATAAATGTATAAAACATAGATAAAAATAAATAAATAAATAAATATATATATACATATATATATATATATAAATACTCATCATCAATCACTGCCGAGGGGAACCCATGATCTCAAATAATGATAAGTCTTCAGGGCATGAGATTCCCGCAGGTGTCCAGGGACAGCGATCATCTTTTGAACATTGCAACCTTAATTCATTACACATTGCGCTAGCTGTTTAGATTCCAAAATGAACCGGAGCTGTGAAACCGTGAAACGGTGGAATTTGCGCAACCTCACACCAACTCTGGCAAATAAACATATGACATATTAAAACAAAATAACACTATAATACCCAAAGGATCCCAAGACTGAGGGCAAGGACAGTAGGACTTGATTTGGATCATACCTCTATTTATTTATAGTAGCCACATGTAGCCACGGCCCATCATTGCAGCACCCTGCCCAAGCTGCTCTCATAGACCGTCTTGCGGCTGCCCGCCAATTTCTCGAAGCCTTTGTACTTCTCCAGGTCCTTTTTCTGTGCCGCTGGGACATACCAATCTCCATGTGGAATGACACAGCTGCAGCAAACTTGTCACCAAACAAGTTTGACCAACTGCACGGTCAGGTAGCAAGGCACTCAATCCATGACAGAATCTAAAAAACTGAAATCAGGTCCTTGGCGCAAGCAGGCAAGAAGCCGGTCTCGGTCATCTGCACCATGGTTTCAACTTCCTGAGGCTGGCGATCTGCCCGAACAACCAGGTTTTGATCTTCAGGAATGGACGTGGGCAGTTTGGATCTACCAAGTGTAGATGGGTCTCCCGCAAATAGATATGGTGGTTTCCTAAAATGGTGGTATCCCCAAATCATCAATTTTAAAAGGATTTTCAATTTTTCCATTAAATACCATCCATCCATTAATAGGAGTTTGGTGGGGGTTTCACGCGTAGCTGGTTGCCTCTACCCTACCGTTGTCACACAGCACTAAAGGCAAAGGAAGACAAACAAAACCATTAATAGGGGTACACCCGTTTTAGGAAACTTCCATATCTGTAGTTGCTGAAATCTGGACTGGTCAGCAGCCGTGTTTGATTTCTGAAACGTGCCACTGTCAGAAAGTGAATTTATCCCAACCGGTCCCGTCTCATATTGAGGTTCTACACCTGTCCAATCCCCCAACAAACACCCTCAGTAAACATACCCGAACATTCCATTGATTCTCCGAGATTCTCCAAGTAAACATCTTCAGTTTCCCTCATCCCATCTCATCCCATAACTCAGCACCATCGACCCCCACAGATCAAAAATCAGCTGCCCAGTGACACAGCACATGGAGGAGATGTAGTTCTCGTACATCACTTCCTGACGGGCCTCGGTTTCCTCTTCGGTGTAGATCTTCAGGGTCTCCAGCAGCTTCCTTGGGAGCTTGGTGGGGCCCATCTGGAAGTGTGTAACTTAAGATATAGACCACCGCAAATGTATCAAATGATTTGAAATCTTCAGAACTTTCATGAACGTACTGAATGTCATGTCTTGGTGCTTCAGCACTTCCCGGCACTTCCCTTTTTGTGTCGCTGGGCACAACATGAATTTGATGCCTAGTTGGTGCCTCTTTGGCGCTCATGGCAGGCGCTTTGCAACTTCACCTCTCCATTCTTCAAAAGAAAATTGGGTAAAGCTAAAATCCGCCCAAACAGCATCCCACAGCCATCTCAAATGCTCCAAACATTACACGCACACACATATATAAATGTGATTCATAAAAATGACAAACATAGGAAAACCGTATGAATGTATGATCTATCCAATCGGTCCAAGCATCTTGTTCTTCACCGAGTTCCAGGTCGCAATGGCCTTGGGCGTGGTGTTCAGATTGGGCAGCCCCCTTTTCTCGGCCTCCACGGGCCACTCGGCGCTGTAGCCGTTGCCCGTGAAGATCACGTGCTTGTTCTCCTTGAAGACCTGCCGTAGCAGCTATAGCACCGGGACTCGGGATGTTTATGGATGTTTTCTCCATGTGTTAGGTGATTTTGAGGTGATTTAGGTGATCTTGACAAAACAATGCTGATCACCCGATGGATTTCGATGTGATTTTTGGGACAAATACATCCGAACGGCCCAAATCGGCCCAGCATTCGTCATCAATTTTCATGTTCATTGTGATTTTCGTCTTGTTGAAAATGTATGAAAATTTGGCATTTGCCACGGTGGTGTCTTTTGGCACTTCATTTCCATGTGGGCTTATGGAAAATCATTGTTTTATTGCAGTGGCAGTTCGAAAATGCATGTTGAACACCCTCAAACAACGTTACGTTTTTTGGATGGTTTTTCGTTTCGCCAAAGCGCCACCGATTTTTTTCCATCGCTTCAACTTGCATCACATGAAGTGTGTTCACCGAATGCACAACGCAACCCGAAGTGTGTTCACCGCATTAAAACATACGCGCGCAGCGTAACGTGAAGTGCGTTCACCGAAAAAACACACGCGCGCAACGTAGCATGAAGTGCGTTCACCGAAGAACAACAGAAGTGTGCAACGTAGCATGAAGTGTGTTCACCGAAGTACAACACACGTGTGCAGGGTAACATAAGTGTGTTCACAGAAGTACAACAGAAGTGTACAACGTAACATGAAGTGTGCTCACGGAATGACAATACACGCGCGCAGCGTAGCATAAAGTGCGTTCACCGAATTAAAACACACACGCGCGGCGTAGCATGAAGCGCTTTCACCGAATTAAAACACACGCGCACAGCGTAACATGAAGCGATATGAAGCGCCTTCACCGAATTAAACACACGCACGCAGCGTAACATGAAATGCGTTCACTGAAGTAGCGCGCAGCGTAACATGAAGTGTGTTTACCGAAGTACAACAGAAGTGCGCAACGCAATGTGAAGCTTGGTCACTGAAAAACAGCGCACGCGCGCAGCAAAACATGAAGCGTTTTCACCGAAGTAAAACACACACGCGCGCAAAGTAACATGCAGCGTGTTCACCGAAGCACAGCAGAAGCGCGCAACGCAGCATGAAGTGTCTTCACCGGAGATCAACAGAAGCGTGCAACGCAACATGAAGTTTTATACGACGAAGAAAGACAGAAGCGCGCAGCGTAAAGTGAAGTTTGGTCACCGAAGAAAGACAGAAGCGCAACGTAACGTGAAGTTTGGTCACCGAAGTACAACACACGCGCGCAACCTAACATGAAGTGCGTGCACCAAAGTCAAACACACGCGCGCGCGCAACGTAGCATGAAGTGTGTTCACCGAATTAAAACACACGCGTGCAGCAAACATGAAGCGCGTTCACCGAATTAAACACACGCGCGCAGCGTAACATGAAGCGCGTTCACCGAAGTACATCAGAAGCGCGCAGCATAACATGAAGCGCGTTCACCGAATTAAAACACACGCGCGCAGCGCAACATGAAGCGCGCGCGCGCAGCGTAACATGAAGGGTGGTCACCGAAGTACAACAGAAGTGTGCAACGCATTCGAAGTGTGTTCACCAAATTTAAACATACGCGCGCAACGTAACATGAAGTGTGCTCACAGAAGTGCAATAGAAGCGCGCAACGTAGCTGAAGTGTGTTCACTCTGTGTTCACCGAACAACGTAACGTGAAGTGTGTTCACCGAATTAAAAAACAAACGAGCGCAGCGTAACAAGAAGCGCGTCCACCGAATTAAAACGCACGCGTGCAAAGTAACATGAAGTGTGTTCACCGAAGTACAACACACGCGTGCAACGTAACATGAAGTGTGCTCACAAAAGTACAATAGAAGCACGCAACGTAGCATGAAGTGTGTTCACCGAATTAAAAACACGCGCGCAGCGTAGCATGAAGCGCGTTCACCGAATTAAAACACACCCGCGTAGCGTAACATGAAGCGCGTTCACCGAATTAAAACACACCCGCGTAGCGTAACATGAAGCGCGTTCACCGAAGTACAGCGCGCAACGTAACAGGAATTGTGTTCACCAAAGTGCAACACACGCGTGCAACGTAGCATGAAACGTTATTTCCCCCCGCCCCACCCCCCGCCCAAAACAGAAGTGCGCAACGTAACATGAAGTGTGTTCGCGGAAGAAAATCGATGATAACGTAGACACAGAACGTTATTACACTCCCCCACCCCACCCCCCGCCCCCACCCCCCCCCCCCAACATATCACAACGCCAAAAAAAAAAAACGCAAAAACGCTGGGCCGGTTTTCGGGCCGTAGGCAAATACATGTTGAAAGATGTTGAGCAAGGATTTGACTCCAAACATATTTACACATAAGGCTTTGTTTTGGGTGTTCACCAGGAATTTTACTCCAATAGATGTAGGCGTCCTATCTACTTTGCCGTATGAACCATTTCTGAGCACCGGTGTGGAGACGGGTCCAAGAAAACTACAGGAACATGTCCCATACAAGTACCTAGGTGCATGCAGATATGTTCCAGGAGCACTACTTGCACTCAGTGCTGCAAACAGCATGTCGCAGCATGTCACAGCCATCTTTGCAACATCATTCACAATTCGAATCATGCTATATTGCGGAGGAACAAAAGAATCATAAAGAACCCTCCTCACCCTCAGAAGAAAGGCCAAACTCACTAAACTCACCACTGCCTGCGCCACAGCATCCCTGTGGCTCATGCCACCTTCGATCAAACCAGCCATGTGGGCCATTCCTGCCAAAAGGGACTGCAGCATATGGGCCCGGCCCACACCACCAACAGAATGGTTTGATTTCAGTCCCATACCAGACCTGATGCTTTGTACCTTCATGCCTTCGAACAGAATGTAGCTTTATCAGGCTCTCAACCAGGTAAATTCATGTGACTAGTCCCTCCGCCCAGTAGCAACCGCAGTAGCCACCTGGAAAAACCCTGGTTTTGAACGATGAGCTGAGGAGATCCCCTCAAAAACAATCCGGACAGCGGTCCTGCAGACATGATTGCGTTGCAAACCATCACTGGGAAGCAACAGTTCTGCGAGGAGCCCACGGCGCGGAATTCGAACCGGTTGCCGCAGAAGGGGAAGGGTGCGGTACCTGGAGGTCCAGCAGAACGAATAGCTGGGAAGCCTATGTTCAAACAAACTCCCCACAAGGAGCAGGGATAAAGTGGAAATTTGTTGGGGGTGCGTTTGTCACTCCGCCAGCGCAGGCTCAGTGCAATTGAAAATTGGAATTTCAATGAATTTGACCCTTGGTAGATCTTGGAAGTCTGCACTCAATATGCTTGGTGAGGCCTGCTTACAGCTAAAAATGCATCATACCCGCTCCGCAACGCTGTGTCTTGGGTTTGGACATGTATCGCACTATGACATACCTGGAAAACAAAGTGGCAAAAAAATGGGACACTGACGAAAGTTGCCTGATTTTCTGCCACTGCACGAATAGTGGCAGTTTTTGCTTCCTATGCCTCCATCAAAACATGAGTATTGTGGCAGCCCAGTCCTTCCAAAGACAAACTTTCACTTTGTGACATGCTTTTCCGAAAGGTTTACACCATGTTGAAGCGAACGATCTTTTCGGATTTAGCAATTTCAAACATTGATAGTTTTTTGCTGCAAGAACTCCATTAAAAATCCAAAGGTGCGGCCAACGACGAATGATCAATGTGTATATTAGTGTCTTTGATTTTGACATGTATTGTCCAATGTTTTTCCTGGTATTTTCACGAATTTTTTTGAACGCATTGGATTTGGGCGATTTTTTTGCAATAGTTACGAAGTCTTCAGAACCAAAGACCGACTTGAAGTTTCTCCAGCAGTAAAGTAATGCACAAATCAGGTAAAATATGGTAAAACAAGGTTCTTCCAAAACCCTTCGCAACTATAAAGTCTAATTCTGTTGGGAAAGACCTGGGTCTATAGAAAATGGAAGGTGGATGCCTTTGAATTCCCTTCATTTCATTTCGCACATTGTTGCACCTCACCTGCAAAACTTCTTCACTGTGTGCTATCTTTGGGCCGCTTGAGGAAACTGTGCTTTTTCATCTTGAAAGGCCCAGGGATTTCATCCTTTGTATGTCGCAGCTACCTGAGCTTCAACTTCAATGTATTGTATACTGATGGCAGTATCAGAACCTTCAATGTACAAAACTTGCATCATAGCGTTGATGAGCCCTCTGGCCGGTGTTTTCTGCTGTCTAAGTTGAACATATTTCAACAGGTATTTGGCCGGCGTCCAGAATCCAAACCCAAATTTAAGCCACCATGGGATGCGCGCGTGCAAGCATGGGGAAGAAACAGGGCAAGAACTTCAATGAAAATGCTCAGAATTGTCGCGTACGGTTTCGTATCGCTTTTTTTCACCACTTTCTCGCTTTTTTTCGCCACTTTCTCACTTTCGTACGGTGGCGTACGGTGTCGTTTTTTTACTCGCAAGTTCATTTTTTGATCTTTTCGGGTCCGGGCAGGCATCAGTGACAAGAAAATTGCGAGCAATCCCCTTCTACCCCTCATGGGTCCGGACAAAGGACGCCTCTAAATATCCCCCGTGACATGTGCTTAGCGCTACTTAGTTCATGCGCACTTGCTCATGGCACTCAAAAGTCCATAGAACGCAGAGAGTTGCTGTCGCTGTGACAGTGGCTATGCTTGATGCGGGGGCATTATGTTATGGTCGTTTTCTGCTTCAATTTTCCCTGTACTATTCTGACTTTCTCTGGCTCTATTGCAGGACACGCCTTTTCTCTGCAATAAATTCAATAAATGCCCTTTCTACTGCGCATATCAATGTCCTTTCGACTCTTCTTCCTGGTAAGAACGCTTTGTCTACGCTTTACCTATCTTGATCTATCGCTGTGCATCTATAGCTTGATTATGCAGTTTCGCCGTGATGTGTGCTCCAACCAACACTATTCTCCACTGCCAGCGGCCAAAGGGAAGACATGTTAAAATGTCAAGCCATTATACACTGAAAGTAAGAAAAACCTTATGTTGCACTATAAATTCAACGTTGCTGAAGGTCAGAGTTGCACAGAAGGGAAGGAGTTTCCGGGCAAGGCAGAGAGCTCTCAATCACGCAACAATAAGATCAGACTTCGGCGCATAGGCTTTTGCAAACATCGACATTTAAAAAACCCACTTGCTGAACTTGCACGTATCTTCAGAACAAACCTGGAAATAGGATAGCTTCAAGATGTTTAAGACCCAGACAACCCAACTGACTCACCTAAATCAGCGCAAAAGGCACTGGAAGACTTAAAGTTGCAATAATCTGTGTTTTTCCATGAAAGTTGCCTATTTTCGGAGAAGTTGCAAAAATTACTGCCACTTTGGGAAAGTTGCCAAAATTTTGAAAGTTGCCTAAAAAAACCAGCAACTTTGGTTCTCCAGGTAGGGAATCCTCACATTGGCCATGGACTAATTCCCTATTCACTGAGGGCACGACCATCCCCCTATATGATCCTACAATATCCTACATGGCTATATCGTCTAACCATATCCAATCCAACTCTGGACAGCTGTACACTGTACACATGGCATTTGCAGCAGCCGACTGTTCGGCCGAAGGCACGGTTTCGATCCTCAACAGGGGCCTCGATGTGCATGGCGGCGCTGCAGCCGGTGGCCTGCTTCTTCTTCTCGGCCTGTATTGCAGCCCAAACCACAAGGGGAATCCCCAAAAACATGGAAAATTCAGGCAAAACCCTTGGTGATGTGGATGTCTTTCTTGGCCAATAAATCTAGCAATGTCATATCCCAGCGAATATCAACTTGCAAAAAAGAGTTATCAACTAGGCTTGGCACTGCTCCAAGAACCATCGAACACCATTATACTGCAAGACTTTCTGGCCTTTAACCACCTCCCAGTCATCTCATAGTTCCTCTCTCTTCCGGATAAATCATAATAATTCATCAACCTGAGAAGTTTGGCCATTTGGGGATGATTTCCCTTATGTCGCGACGTGAGGGCGTGATCAAATTTATCCAGATCTAATTGTTACAGCTAAAGCTATAAGCTGCAATCATTTATGTGTTTATAGCTGATTAAATGTTTTGACATGTGATTTTAGTATCATTAAATCTTACTAATCCCGCACCCCTTGTCTTAAACTCTTAAACGCCCCTTAAATGGTCCCAAAATATAATCCCAGATGAAACCGTGGTTTCTGAGGGGGTTGACCCATGGAAATCCGGCGGCGGCCTTGTACCCCAGCAAATCGCCTCCCGCCACGATGGATTCCATGAATGTCTCGAAGCCTTGGCCGGGATACCTAAGTGAAGGGCATCCGGCATCAAGTCGCCCAAGGACCGCGAGTTGAATGGTCAAGAGCCATGGTACAGTTGTACATAGATCATACATATATATATAATATATATATATATATGTTTATGTATATATATAAGTGTGTGTATCTAACTATAATTTGGTGTTGTGCTACAAACTCCTCGACAATATGCGTTGTGTCTTGCTATGCTTTGGTATGTTCTGGTCAGTGTTTGAATACATCTAGCGTCGGAAAAACGGCCTGAATCATCAATAGTTGAATACATTGTAAATCTACATCTTTCATCTTAAAATCACAAAACAGATCCCCAAAAAACAAATGTAGCACACTTATTCTATGTTATAACAAACACTAAGACACTAAGAAAACATCGAATTTCCAGCCATCCCCCCCGGAATCCTCCCCCAACCCATCCTCCCAGGCTAAGGCACAAGGAGATGATGGCAGGCGGCGCCTCCTGGGCTCCCAGGCGATGGTCGTTGCCGGCGCCGGCCACGGTGCAGCGGACCATCTCGTTGTACTGCGAGAGGCCGTAGGCCAGGCAGGCGATGGCCGTGACGTAGAGCTTGGCATGCGCCTGGATGGGTATATTCATTATATAATGCGGGTAAAACAATAATAAACCATCATGTGGGAATGGTTACCACCTATTTATGGTGATTTGGGGGATTGTTTATTATGGCATTGTTTTACCCACATTATACTAAAAGACTGGGAGTTGAAGAAAGAAACAAAGAAACAAGTAAGAATTGATTGTGGAAAAATGGAATTGTTAACCAACCAAAGCACATGAAAGTGCCAAACAATCGGCGCTTGAGCCACCAAGAAACGAAAGTTATTTGGGAACATCGTCCCAAACAGAAAACGACGATGTGAAACCACCAGTCACAACGAGTGGAGGGGAGCATGGATTGGGATGATAGAAGATGTTAGAATAATTGAAGACTATGTGCGTGTAACCCGTATCAACGGTATTCATTCAATTTACTTGGGGGTCGTTGGGATGGGCTTTATGGGGATGATGAAAGAATGGAAATAACTGATATGTGTTTCTTATAACTTATTTATTGTTATCAGCGGTGTGGGAACTTATTGAGAAATCAGCAGTGTGGGGATATAGGAATGGGATGGAATTTGAAATGTAGGGTAATTAGTGTAGGTGAATAAGCTTGGTATCTGAAGCCTGGTTGCCAAAAATGCGGTGTGTACACTCACTCATTTTGGTATCCTAGTTAAAGAGGACATAACTTGCTACCAATGGAAATTTTCGGATAGGTCCATGCCACTGATATATCCAAAGAGATGGATCGCATGCTTTCCTACTGGCCCAATCCAGATCTTCCGGATTCTTCCGGCCTCAGTCTTGCCAGGGTAGAAGAAATTGATTCCCGTGTCAGTTCCAATGGACCAGTTGGCGTGCTTGCCACTTCCGTTGATGCCGGCGAAGGGCTTCTCATGGAAAAGCACCTGTTCCAAGCGCATGTTTGGATCCCGGGTGCCTTATTGTGGCAGTTGTGGCCTCATTTCCCTCTGGTGGAAAAGGGAAGAGAATGGACAAACAACAAGTACTGCACACATGTACATCATATAACCAAAGCTGACGTTTAATAGGATGTTTTACTAAGGCCTCTAGCTACACAACAACTTCTCATCCCCACATATCCCCACGAAATCACATCCTCACCACCACTGGCTGGTGATTTCAACACCTGAGAAAATATCAGTCATTTGGAATTATCATCCCAAAGGTAGCCTTGAACATTAGCCAAATTATCATTGGTTAGTTGTATTCCCATATATCCCCATGAAACCGCCATTTGGAGGTATATCTTCCTTTTTTTAAACCCCAAACCATCAAACCATCCAAAACCATCCAACCAGGCAGACCTGCAAGCCCAACTTCTGCGCTTCCCGGTTCATGACCTCCATAAAGCACACGTTGCTGTCGCAGCTCACATTGGCCGTGCGGAAGACGGGCGACATCTCGTGCTGCCCCGGTGCCACCTCGTTGTGCTTCACCGCCATGGGGCAGCCGATCTTCAGCATCTCTGCCTGGGCGATGTCCAGCAACTCCTGGGCGCTGGGAGGTGCATGTTTCAGAATGGGTAGTCATTAAGGGGTAAAACCAGGGGATCTAAAACTTATTGATTGGTTGGGATTTAAAACTCCTATATGACATACTATATAACTATGGCTATATATATATAAATATATATAATGCAATGTATAACCACTTGGACCTGCACCCGAGTGGGTGGGGTTGATAATTATCTTGGATAGTGATGCCATCAAGCAGAGTCGTACCGTCCTGCACCCTGCCAGGGATTGGCTGGAAGTAGTTCAAGTCGCCCTGCTGATGTCTGGTGGGCAACTTGCCGAACAAGGTGCGGCCGCAGTTCACCAGGTCAGGCCTGGCCTTGTAGAGATCAGCTGGCATCACAAAGAACTCCTGCTCCCAACCCAGGTAGCTCTGCATGGCCTGAGGGGCGCGTTGCCTTTCATGTCTTCAGCTTTTTAGAACCACAACAAACAACACGCAAAACTGTGCCTGAAGATGACTGAAGTGGAAAGAAATCAACGAACCCTGACCATCCAACTGCAGGCCACCATGTCCCACCATGTCCCACCATGTCCCACCATGTCCCAACATGTCCCACCATGTCCTACCATGTCCCACCATGTCCCACCATGGCCCACCATGTCCCAGCACGTGGCAGGTCCCACCCAAAACCCCAGCCTTTGCATCAGTTCCGATGCCAATGGCTTTCAACAGCCTCAAGCCACTGACGGTCACTGCATCCATGGAGCGGAGCAGTGGCGTCTTCTCATCGATGCACTTGCCGAAGTGAGTCACGAAGGCGCAGGGAATGTAGAGGCACCTGATATCAGCCAAAACAAGGGGGCTGATGCGGGGGTCTCAATAATAAACCATCCTGAAGTTGCTGCTTATGATCAACTTTTACATGCGTATGCACCCTGCTTGGGATAACTGTTGATACCCCCAAGTCTTTGACGATAATTGGGGACATGCGGTACCATATCTACATTGACGAGCGTAGGTCGCGGAAATGATGGAACATGATAGCACTTGGGCCCCAGGAAAATCTAGGCGGCCCCTTGTGTCACACTGAGTCATACTTCTATACCTGGCTTGATAAAAAGAATTATCTGAGCCCGACAGGAATCATACCATATAATATCCGCATCTAAACATATAATTATCATATATCTATTTCTATCAACATGTAAATAGTCACACTTTTCCACATTTTTATGGCATATTTTTCGTATACTTTCCCACATCTTCCCACTTCCCGGCCGTATCCACTGCCACCGGCCATGGCGCTTATCCATCACGAAGGGCGGCGAGGCGCGGTCCCAGGTGGTGAAGGCGGCCGCAGAGTGCGTCACGCGCAGCCCGCCGTTGGGGAAGGAGCTGCCGTCGGTTTCGCCCTGGAACAAACGTTCGTAAGGCAAGCAGGCCTGGCAGGATGTTGATTTGGCGAATGTTTTTTGGGATTTCTTTGTTTGTTGGAAGATTCCTTTGAAGGTGTTTTGGGTATCTTAAGGATTTTTTTTGGATGATTCCAAGGAGGTTGAAACAGGTTGACATGGATTTGCCACAGGGCTGGGCGGAAAAATCATTCTGGGATGAGGGCCCGGCCTAATTATTCAGGGTCTATACCCCAAATTTTGAATTGGTTGAAGACATGGATTTAGCAGGTAAACATGGGGGTTTCCATGGGTTTCCTGCAGATCGTCCTTAACACTGTCCATTTGTCAAGCCGGTGAGGATCCCACAAAGATAGGGATGGTATGGGATGCCAAATAACTTGCAACAATCATGTGGCTTGCTGGGTCTCAATCCTTTATCCAATTTTACACATTACCCACTCTGGAACTGCAGTTTCAATGTTGAGGCTCCACATGGGATCAGTAATCACACCCTCTGTGTGCATAGAAGTTTGTCTTGAAGCACACCCTGCGCTTTTCTGATGTGGTACCAATAACGGTTTTTGCTACATCTACCATTGTCGAATATTATCCTCTGATTACTAAGCCTCTTGGAAAATTAACATGGAGTCCCCAAAATAGTGATATGACCCAAATTAGTAATGCTGTTAACATGATGATTACAGATGGGATAACTATTGATCCCTCTTGTTTACTATCACTCCCTAAGTAGTTTAGCTAATTATAGATGCTACTTTCCCAATTAGCAATCTAGGGATAACTATTGATCTTGGCTTGGGTCATCCCTCCAATCGCATGCCGCCTTCATCGGCTTCGTAGTGAACCTGGTAAGGGATTTGCCGCCACCCTTTTTGGAATCCACCATATGTAGGTCATAATAGATGCTGCAATTTGATAGAAACAAATATTTTAATTAAAAGAGTGTTATACATACACACACATATACATGTCCCATTGCTTGCTGGTTTTAAAGCAATGTTTTGGGGTTGAAATTTTCATGACCGACACCAATATTGTTGAGTTCTATTTCAACAATATTCAAGATGTTAATTATGTGATATTCAAAAATATTCAACAACATTGTTTCCGAGTCTATACAATAAATATTATTCCCCTAACAAAATGCAAAAAAAAAACACATACATCGCCCTCAATTGAGGATAGGTGACTTGGAGCCGAACTCCAGGTCGATCAGGGTATCCTTCTTGAAGGCACCCAACATGCCGCCCACGGCGCCGCCGCCACCGCGCAGAGGGAAGAACCAATGGGCGAAATCCTCGTGATTGTTTCGATGGGAAAATAAGGAACCTCAATAAACTTATGGGGATTTATCGGGACACCCTGTTTTTTCAAAGAAAGCCAAACATGGTTCAGGATGTTGTTGATCTGGTCTGTTTTTGTGGAGAAAGTTTCTGTTTCACTTCGTTTGGATGTATTTTGAAAATGTGTGAACATGTTTTGCCTATTTCTCTGTTCAAAATGTGTTTCATTTGTCTGCAATGTCTTGATGTGTTTAAAACAATCCGCCTGATAGCAATGGGAATTGGTGGCCA